ACAAACATGACGTGAAATTGACATATTTCGAGTTAAATTTTTTAAAATTTTACCGCTCGCTAATAAATGATGACAGAATTATATTTTTTCATCAAAAAAATAATAATAATAATAATTCAATTTAATTTTTTGATTGATTTTGACATTTTCTTCTACTTTTTCAAAAAGATGAATCATGATTTACGATTTAAAAATGTCAAAAATAATAATAATAATACTATTGGAATGTGTAATTTGTTTTATTTGAATGGAATTAACATTAATAATAATAATAATAACAATAATGATAATAGTACTAATAATACTACTGATAATAGTAGTAATAGTACTAACGATAATACTACTCATAATGATAGTAGTAGTAATAGTAATAATACTATTGGAATGTGTAATTATTTTTTTTTGAATGGAATTAACATTAATAATAATAATAATGATAATAGTACTAATAATACTACTAATTATAGTAGTAATACTACTAATAATGATAATAGTAATAATAATAATAATACTGGTATTATTAATTCCTACTGTTATCTAATTAAACAACTATGTATGAGATTAGAATATATGTTTACCGAAACACAAACAAAATACGAACAAAATGTGTTGGCAACATCACTTGTTAGTGGTAGGATGGAAAAGAAACCAAATCAAAATATCATGTGGTGATTGTATGAATGAGTTAGATTAGAATGAATTTAGTGTTTACTAATAATACTACTACTACTGTGGTGCGAGCTACTTATAAGTAGTATATGACGTGAGGGTAAACGTAATGTCTGGCAGCAGAAGATGGGAGAAGATCAAGAAAGGAAGAGTGGGGGGAACACAATGGAATTTGTATGAAACGCATGAATAGTGACAATGGATTGATGTTTTGTAACAGGAACAGTCCAGTTCGATATGATGAACTGATATTTTGCAAATGAACGAGTTAAGATATGGTTTCCCGACTTTACTGAGTAACTCTGTAATTTTTGTTAAATACGATTCGGTTGCCCCACCTGTGTTCTCCTTCACTACACTACTACTAATACTACTACTCCAATTAAGTGAATTTTCTTTTTATATCATAATAAATATGGTGATGATAATAATAATAGTTGTATAGTGTAGTGGTTTGTTGAGATGAAGTATTGAAACTTCATCAGTTAAGGTGGTTGGGACATGTGTTGCGTATGCCTAACCATTGACTGTCTCGTCAAGCTATGTTTTGTGGTGTAGGAATAGGTTGGAAGAAAGCTAGAGGTGGCTAGAACAGAAACATGGCACAAATCCATGAAGTCACTGACAAATACATTGAGTCATGTTGGTAGATGTCGACTATCTGGTTGGGGTCCGCGAGATGATAGTAATCGATGGTTAGAGACCTTGAACTACATGGCTCGGAATCGTTTGCAATGGCGCAAGTGCATCCATTCTTTGAGCTCTCTCAAATACTAATCTTCTGGATTCGTCGAAACCTCTACCTTTGTCTTTCTAAACTTATCTCACTGAATTATACTTCTCTAATCATATCTTCAAACCCTAATCTTCTTCATTACTGCTAATATTGCTGCTATAGCTACCACTGTGTGATTTGAACTGACAGTTGAATCTCTGTAGTGATGTGGTATGGCAATAATGAAAGGTATTCAGATACTTTAAATCAAACGAGTTACATTATCTATATTCATAATGATAGATTTAACATTTTAGAATCATCAGTCCAGTGATAAAATAAACATTTTCCGTTTTACAATAATGAGTCCCTAATATTAAATCAACAAACAGTTTGATATACCAAAAAAATATGACTAGTCAGTATGGCAATATCTTTAAGGATAGAAAGTTCAATAAACAGTAAACTAGGCAAAAACAACAAAAAAAATGAAAAGAAAATATCAAAAATGCACAGAATGTTTACATAGTTACTTACTTACACCTATTTTTACCCTCAATGGAGCATAGGCCGCCAATCAGTTTTCTCCAGCCGACTCTAACCTGGGCTTCCCTTTCCAATTCTATCCAATTTTTGTTCATTCCTCTCATGTCTTTCTCTGTTTCTCGGCGTAATGTGTTTCTTGGCCTATTTCTTTTCTTTTGACCTTGAGAATTTCAAGTGAGGGCTTGTCTTGTGATGCAGATAGGTGCTTTCCTCAATGTAGGTCCTATCCACTTCCATCGCTTCTTCCTGATTTCCTCCTCCACTGGAATCTGGTTTGTTCTCTTCCACAGTAGATTATTGTTGATGGTGTCTGGCCAACAAATCCGATATATTTTACGTACACAACTGTGTTAATAAATACTTATATCTTCTGGATGACAAGTTTGGTAATTTTTGCAAGTTATCCGACTACAAAACTACAATTTTTTTAAAATAAAACATATAACTCAATCAAATCAATTCACTAAACTTTAAATTAATGTACAAGTTTGAAACATTGAACTCATTTTGAATTGATTATTAATCATTGAAATTTTCATTGTTTATTATTCTCATTCATTAGGAACATCTGAATCATATGATTCATTTATGGGGTCGATCAGGGAATTTACTTGAAGAAAGTCGACGTATTGTACCAGTACATTTAAGATTAGGTGGTGTCACTGATGGTCTAAGTACAAATACTGAATCAGCTAGTCCTGTAATGGCACGTATGTTAACTTCATTAACAGGACCAAATTATGAATTGAAAGAAGGTGAAGAAGTTCGATTAATCTCGAATAAAGATGATCAACATTTTTGGACAGTACAAACAAATAATGGAATAGTGAAAATACCATCAGTTTGTTTATGGATAAGTGATCCAGATTTGGAGGCTGTGAAACGATCAGTCATGTAAGTTGTAATAATAATAATAATAATAATAATAATTATATGTCACTTGAAATCATCAGTCAATCATTGTTCGACTACCATTAGAAGTCTCGAAGCACTTTGAGACGGCCGTTTCGTCCTGGTGTGGGACTGACTCATCAGCAGTGCGCATCCACGACTCCTGCACCTCGCACGCAAGATTCGAACACAGCGGAACCTTCGGTAATGTGCGCGAACGCCTAACCATCGGACCACTCGGTCGGCATCCAACGGTGTTAATGTCTAACTCTGATTGATCTAGGGATTTTTTTTGCGCAACCTCACCCATTTGTCTTTGGTAGTAGTTACTGCCTACACCCAAAACTCTGCCTCAAGATAATAATTCTATGCCATTTTTTTAAAAAATTCCTATTTATTTATAGTTACTATATAAGTAAGCAATAAGTAACTCAACAATCTCCACAACCCCATAATGCAATAATTACCTTTGTTCGCTGGTGACTAGCTCCATGAGGAATCTTATGCGAGTTCTAATCAGAAGTTGTGACCAGTGAGGTGCAACCCTGTTCGAATGTAGACAGTAACTACTGAATACAGTGAATGAGGATGCGCAAGACCGTGAACTGATCGAAGTTAGACATTAACACCGTTAGATACTGGCTCAATGGTCCAGAGGTTAGGCATTCGCGTGCAAGGCTGAAGGTCCTGTGTTCTCATTCGTCGAGGTGCAGGAATCGTGGATGCGCAGTCAGTCCCATACCAGGACGAAACATCCAACCTGTGCTTCCAGGGTTCTAAAAGTGGTCTAACAGTGTTCGGCTCATGGTTTCAATAAATATGCTGATGTCCTTAACATAAAATTAATTCTACAAAAACACCAGTCCTATCCTCTTCATGATACTTCTCATTTTATAGAAATTTATTTGTTCCATCTTTGTTTCCATTGTTCGACACATCATTGGTATTTCTCAAAGTTCAGGATCTTCAGTTTCCTTATCGTTTGTTCCCCAACATTACTAGAATGTCTCTGTCGTTTCTGCTTTTAAGGGCAAAATCTAAACCGCGGAATGCTAATTTTGATAAAGCCAGGAGAGGTAATTTAACGTAGTGACCGAATCGTAATCATTATTGCACGAACCATCTATTTGTCGTTATGTTGCATTTTACATTTGATTGCATATGGTTCTGTAAGTACTTGAAGACTTCCAAATAGTAGATAGTATTGACTAGCTATATGGTATACAATACAATTGGTTATTCGTTCAATTATATACACGGTTACTAACATTAGTAGTTTATTCATTGAATACTCTGTGTATGAGAGTGTTTAATAATTTCTCCTAGTAAGTTTTAACAAAAACCAAGGGGTAGTAGTTAGTGAAATTTAAGAAAACTCAAAAAATAGTAAAATTAACAAGAAAACACTGACTTATTACGTTATTTTAACTAAGAATATTTATCAATACAAACAATTTTTTACTCAACTTTAATTAAGAGCAAAAATGTTTGGGATGCGGTTTCCCCCCCCCCCCCGAAATGCTAAATGTTGCTTCAGTATTGGCTTACATCGGCATCTGAACTAGTGATTCAGAGTCTCATCAGTGCTGATGGCCTAGTGTATGACGAAATCTCAGCACGAATACAGAAGGCTCTATTGGTTTTCGCCAACTTGTTTAACTTATGACGTAGGGCGAGATATCCGTTTGTTAACGAAAGGACGAGTGTACTGTGCAGCAGTTCGCTCTGTCATACTATTTGGCTGTGAAACATGGACTATAAGAATAGAAGATATTCGTAGGTCATTAGTATTTGATTACAAATGTCTTCAAAGCGATGAGACCTTGAATGACATGGCTCAAAATCGTTTGCAATGAAGTAGATACAACCATTATTTGTCTTCTCGCTGGTTACAATCTTCTGAATTCCTCATCATCTCTATCTTATTATTTCTAAATTTATTTCACTAAATTATACTTTTCGAATAATTTCTTCGAACCCTAATCTCTCCGATTACCACTAATACTTCTACTATCTGTACTACTATGGGATTTCAACTGACAATTGCATATCTCTGTGCTAATGTGGTATGATACAACCTGAACAGACGTACGTACGTAAGTACGTACGAAGTTCTACGTTATAACTGACTGACTGACTGACTTACATTTTTTTTTCTGAATTTTAATGAGGAGTAGACATTTTCACAGTTCATCATTGTATGCATTAAGATTCAATATACTGTGTTTTAATCAATATGAATGAATGAATGAATGATTAGAATTTTTTAAGAATTATTCATAAATGTAATTATTTAAATTATTTTTTTTTAAACAAATTATTGATTCAGAATGTGTAATTTTGAAAAAAAATGAAGTGAATGAAATTTAATTAATCAATACTTTAATGGGTGCTTTAAACAAAATTTCTTTGATTGATATTTAACTCAAATAAATAACATGAATAAAACAACATCTGCCTATGGGTGGCGTAGGCGAGATATCCGTTTGTTGACTAAAGGAAGAGTGTACTGCGCAGTAGTTCGCTCCGTCTTATTTTATGGCTGTGAAACATGGCCAATGAGAGTAGAAGATATTCGTAGGTTACTGGTTTTCGATCATAGGTGTCTTCGAAGCATTGCTCGTGCATCGTGGGACAACCGAGTAAGCAATGCTGCCGTTAGGAAACGAGTACTAGGTAAGGATGGCAGATCAATAGATGAAGTGGTGAAACTTCATCAGTTGAGGTGGATGGGACATGTGTTGCGTATGCCCAACCACAGACTGCCTCGTCGAGCCTTGTTTTGTAGTGTAGGGATAGGTTGGAAGAAAGTTAGGGGCGGCCAAACCAAAACATGGCACAAATCCATGAAGTCATTGACTAGTGGACTGAGCCATGTCGGTAGGTGTCGACTACCTGGTTGGGGTCCGCGAGATGATAATAATCGATGGTTAGAGACCTTGAATGACATGGCTCAAAATCGTTCGCAACGGTGCAGGTGCATTTATTCTTTGTGTTCTCTCAAATCCTAATCTTCTGGGTTCTTCAACAACTCTAGTTTTGACTTTCTAAACTTTTCTCATTGAGTCATACTTCTTGAATAATATCTTCTCATTCTAACCTCTCCGATTACTCCTAATACCTTTACTATCTCTTCTACTATTGGATTTGAATTGACAATTATATCTCTGTGTTGATGTGGTATGGCGACATGAACTGATGTACTTACGTACGAAGTTCTACGTTGCAACTGACTGACTGACTGCCTGTGGGTTGATTTTTTCACAGAATCATCATAGGAATTCATTTTTTATTGGCAGTTATAATCTTCTCATTGATAGTCAAGATTGTAATTGATCAGTGTTCTTTCGTATATGTACATCCTGTGCAGATTACCTAGATATTAATAGCCATTAAGCCATATCCCCAATCTTCTCCATTGTTGCTAATACTTCTACTATCGCTATCACTCTTGGATTTGAACTGATAGTTGCGTCTCTGTGCTGATGTGGTGGTATGGCAACATGAACTGATGTACTTATGTATGAAGTTCCGCGTTGTATTTGTCTGTCTGTCTATTAGGCCATAAGCATTATTTACAGAGATGAACTAGCCAATCGCAGTCTTAACTATCAGTAGGAAAATTCCCAAAACTGCCAATATGAATGAATTAATAATCTTCATCTTATCACACAAGCTAGTGGTTATCTGAACTCAGTAGCTAAATAGATAACGTAATACGGTTCGAGTTCCGAACAGAATATCAACTCTGAAATGCAAGTACATCCGACTGATGAGTCGTCCCAAATAAGACGAAACACATACTGTAGTGAAGGAGAACACAGGTGAGGGCAACCGAATTGTATTTACCGAAAATTACAGAGTTACTCAGTAAAATAGGAAAACCATATCGTAAACGGTGAAATTTGCAAATCTTCAATCCATCATCAATCCATTGTCTGACATTTCACTCACTATTCATGCGTTTCATACAAATTCCATTGTTACCACTCTTCCTTTCTTGATCTCTCCCCATCTTCTGCTGCCGTACATTACGTTGACACTCACGTCATATACTACTTATAAGTAGCTCGCACCACAATACCACCTAAATTCATTCCACTGTTAGCCATTACCTACCGCTGTTTACTTATCACCTAAGAAATATTGTAAATTTATTAGGTTTTTATTAATTTTACCTGTTTATTTTATATAATTAAATTATATAAAGTTATTATAGAATATTATTGAAAGAACAAAGATTATTTCAACAGCTTATTTTTTATTTATCAAATAGTTATAAATTTTAAATTATTTTTCAATAAACAATATACAAAGAAAAAAAAAGTATTAAAGTTCAAATAATTTATAGTTTTAAATTGAAAAAATTGTTAAAATTTTTCTAATGAATTTTAGTCTTAAAATATTAACAAAATATATATATCAATAATGATGATGATGATGTTAAGATGATAAGTTCCAATGTTTGTTTGTTCTTTTGTGTATGTGTAATTGTAGTCAACAAAATTGAAATAATCAATCGATAGCAACGTAGATCTTAGTACGTACGTACGTACGTACGCATGTACATACATCAGTTCATGTTGCCATACCATGTTAGCACAGACATATGCAATTTTTGAAACCATGAATCGATCAATGTTAGACCACCATTAGAAACCTGGAAGCACTGGACGGCCGTTTCGTCCTGGTAAGGGATTCCTCAGCAGTGCACATCCACGACTCCTGTACCCCGCAGGACTCGAACCCAGGACCTAGGGCACTGTGCGCGAACGCCTTAGCTGTTAGACCACTGAGCCGGTATCCAAAGGTTTTAATGTCTAACTTGATCAAATTCACGTAATGCAGATTTGCAATTATCAATTCAAATCCAATGGTGGTAGAGGTGCTAAAGGTATTAGCAGTAATCGAGGAGATTAGGGTTCGACGATATTATTCAAGAAGTACAATCTAGTGAAATAAACTTAAAAAGATAAAGTTTCGGATTTGAGAGAACACAAGGAATGAATACACCTACGACATTGCAAACGGTTTTGAGTCATGTCATTCAACGTCTCTAATCATTGATTATTATCATCTCGCAGGCCCCAACCAGGTAGTTGACACCTACCAACATGACTCAGTCCACTTGTCAGTGACTTCATGGATTTCTGCCATGTTTTGGTTTGGCTGCCCCTAACTTTCTTCCAACCTACTCCTACGCCACAAAACACAGCTTGTTGAGACAGTCGGTGGTTAGCCACTCGTAACACATGTCCCATCCATTCAATACTTCATCTCAACATACCACCAATAAAATTATTTCATTCTAATTTCATACTGATATACATTCGTCAACAGTGAGAATTCGATGCTATTCAGGAATTAAAATGAAAGGAACCATACCTTTTTTCGCTATGAAATTGAAACAGCAGTGAAGTAGACTATTATCTTAGTGATATTAAAAGTAAAATGTTATTGGCCATTAAGTGTGTGTGAACAAACAGGTTCTAAGCTTAGTGAAGACTTAATGTGATTTCTTTTCCTGTCAATGACTGGAATAATATATTGTCTATGGCTTAGTCTGGTTCCTTATTTCGTTAATGAGTCGAACAGCTGACATAACATGATTTAGTTTCTGTGTAGTATACCATTCGAGTATCTAATCCAATGGTAATATAAACACAGTTACCGAGATCAATATCATTATCGTTTTATCGCAGAATACCGTGAGAGATAAACATTTCAGTAACCCGTTTTAACATTGTATTTATATAGTTATGAGTAAAAGTAACCGAAGATAATGTTGGGGATGTTAGATCTCCAGAACTCGCTTGATAAATGTCTTAATTTTGGATTTTATTCATGGGTCCATCAATTGACCTTGAGATCACATTTCCCACCTTGGCTGTTATTGGTTACTGTATTATTTTAGTGACTCTCCCTAGGACGTTTCTATGATGTATAAACAAACGCGATTTGTGTGCTTGAGATCATTGTGCTTGCTGGGTGTTTGTAGAATATACTTTCAAAACTATATCAAGACTTTTCGTTAGAGTAGCTTATGTGGACGCGGGTTCATAGTCTCGTTCTCGTTTATCGACTAACCTGAACCCGTAATAGTTTCAAGCATACCTAGTGACGAGTATAACAAATAAAACCATCTTCCATCAATGTTCAATAAAAGTATGATATCTAGCATTTTCAAGCTTAGTTTTATTCATTTAATGTGTTAGTACTGTATATAAGAGTGTAACATTTCATTGCTGGTTTCATTTCAATCATCTACATATGTTTTCTGTGAACACTCTATTATAGAGTCAGTCAGTCGCAACGTAGAACTTCGTACGTATGTACATCAGTTCATGTTGCCATACCATATTAGCACAGAGACGCAAATGTTAAATCAAATCCCATAGTGATAAAGATAGTAGAGGTATTAATGGTAATCAAGAAGACTAGGGTTCGAAGATATTATTCAAGAAGTATAATTAGGTGAGATAAGGTTAGAAGACAAAGGTAGAGGTGCTGACGAATCCAGAAGATCAGGATTTGAGAGAGCTCAAAGAATGGATGCACTTGCGCCACTGAAAACGATTTTGAGCCATGTCATTCAAGGTCTCTAACCATTGGTGACTTTCGTCTCGCGGACCCCAACCAGGTAGTCTACATCTACCAACATGACTCAGTCCACTAGTCAGTGACTTCATGCATTTCTGCCATGTTTTGGTCTGGCCGCCCCTAGCTTTCTTCCAACCTACTCTATTACAGAGCATCTCAACTAATCAGATAAAAAAAAGTGAGAGTTAGAGCTTCACATGATAATTATGCTTCTATATATATATACAGTAGTCACTCATTGAATCAACAGAAAAAATAATAGATATTACACATATATTGACAAGTGATAAGCAGATGTGTTTAGAAATTCACAGATATAAATATCTTATTCCATAATAATCAACGGTATGCAAGAAATATTCACGGAGACAGAGATTCAAATATTTGAAAAGTGAAATGAAAATCTTAATAATAATAATAATATTAATAGTGATAGGTAGGATAAAACCACATTAAAAACCAAGATAAGATGTACTTCTCCTAGAAAAGACATTCAAGCTTTATTTCGTAGATAAAAAATTACAATGCAACTTTAAAAATTTAAACCATCAAAAAACAGCCACATAGATTCTGTAATCAATGTTTAATCCCGACATATTTTCTAGTTGATAGATTACAGTCGATTCAATTTCCAAGAATACAACTACTTTTAACTATTTTTACTTTTTTTTTGTTTAACTGATGTAAAACTAAACTGTGCAATTTTTTTTAAAATGATAGACACAGTGAAGAAGAGGAAAGAAAAAGACATGATATTTTTAGTTTACACAGACGAAATTTACACTTGTAATCTAGTTTTTTTTCTATTAAGTAAACAAAACAATTTATGTAACATAGTGTAAATGTGTATTGCATACACATTTTACTAATTCAATTAAACAATTGAATTTAAAGTATTGAATTTTGAACAATGTCTAAATGATCAAGTATACTTTATCATTACTCTCTAATATTGAAGAAGTAAATAGATATATATATTTACATGTTTTTGAAAAATCTCACTATGTACTTTTTTACTTTACTTACGCCTGTTACCCCCAATGGAGCATAGGCCGCCCACCAGTTTTCTCCAACCAACTCTGTCCTCAGCTTCCCTCTCCAGTTCTGTCCAATGTTTGTTCATTCCTCTCATATCTTTCTCTATTTCTCGGCGTAGTGTGTTCCTTGGCCTTCCTCTTTTCCTTTTGCCTTGAGGGTTCCATGTGAGGGCTTGTCTCGTGACGCAGTTGGGTGCTTTTCGTAGTGTGTGTCCTACCCACTTCCACCGCTTCTTCCTGATTTCCTCCTCCACTGGAATCTGACTTGTTCTCTCCCACAGTTCATTGTTACTGATGGTGTCTGGCCAACGAATACGAAGTATTTTGCGTAGACAACTGTTAATAAACACTTGTATCCTCTGGATGATGGCTTTGGTAGTTCTCCATGTTTCCGCTCCATACAGTAGAACTGTCTTGACATTTGTATTGAAAATCCTGATTTTGGTTTTGTTTGAAAGTTGTTTGGAGTTCCAGATATTTTTCAACTGTAGAAATGCAGCCCTCGCTTGATTATGAATTAGAATAGAATTGAATCAACTTTGTTACTAACTATTATTACCAAGACAACAAACAACAAGTCTTAGTTCTACCATCTCTATCCAGTTTGTTTCTTATAAATTAGTAAACATTTTATAAATGTATGTTAGACAATATAAGATACATGTTGTTAAAAATTCGACGAATTATGTATGATCTATAAGGTAGTAAGATAGTTGTTAGTGAGTGAGTTAGTTAATTTTATATGAAAAATAATTCACTTTAGAAATATGATTTAAGCTTCTCATTTAGTTAGTCAGTCAGTTATAACGTAGAACTTCGTACGTACGTACGTACATCTGTTCAGGTTGTGTCATACCACATTAGCACAGAGATATGCAATTGTCCATTCAAATCCCATAGTAGTACAGATAGTAGAAGTATTAGCGGTAATCGGAGAGATTAGGGTTTGAAGATGTTATTCAAGAAGTATAATTCAGTGAAATAAATTTAGAAAGAATAAGATAGAGATGATGACAAATTCAGAAAATTATAACTTCAGAGAACATAGAGAGTGGACGCACCTGCGTCATTGCAAACGATTTTGAGTCATGTCATTCAAGGTGTCTAACAATCGATTATTATCGTCTCGCGCACCTGAACCAGGTAGTCTACATCTTTATTATCCTGGTTTAAATGTTAAATTTTTAGTTTATAAGATAGTCAGTCCCATTGATGATGAAACGACTTGTTGTATTGTTTTTTTTTTCTAGACTTCGTGAAAAATGTATTGAATCATGGGATTTACTTGTGGAAAGATCACGTGAACGATTAAGATCCTATTACAGTTGTTTGTTAAATCAAATGGCAGAAAATGGGGTACGTTTTATTTCATTTGGTGAACATTTCAATTGATTTTATATTGATATCAGGCTAAAAAGAAATATTTGGTTAGGATTCGAAATGCAAACTGCTGAATGTTCATTTATTTTAGTCTAAGTGTGAAATGTGTAGGCCCTGAATACGATCACTAGCGAAGTTTTGAGTCTAGACTATTAAACAGTTTGATATGAAGAGGAAACAGGTATCCAGTCTATGCTTTGGTTTTAAACCAACCTTCATCTACCTTAACAATAGAAGTAGTCAGTATTCAAAGTATTCATCAAGTCATTGATTGAAAATAGTCTATCAGAATCATAACACCATAACTCCTCTCTAAAAATATCAGTTTTCATTAGCGATTTATACAAGTTTAGAGGCTTACTGGACAAATCTTTCTTTCTATAACAACAAAGGGGATTAATGATCTTTTATTAAAGAGAAATAAAATCAAATATTCATGCATTCAAAGGTATTTTTCAAATCGATTCTAAATTTCAGGGTACAAACAGCTATTTGCTAGTTCAGTTGCAACACGTTTTTATACTTGTTAAGCTGAACTACTTACAAGTAGTATGTAGTTGTAAAAGTGTTTCTGGATTGATTCTGGTATTGTTACAAAAGAAACAACTGTATGAGTGATTTAAGGAGTTACTACATACTGAACTCTCATTAGTAACATACTAAAGATTCATTCAAGTATTATTGCACTGTACAATTAATTATTGACTGCATGTGGATCTTACCTACTTTGCACTTCAGTATAATAAAACAAAATTATGAGTATTTACATTGAATTGTTCACATATCTTGTAAAGAATAAGAATTTGAAAAAAATGCATAAAACTAATCTCCATTGTACAAGTTAATGATTATCTGGATTTGATTGTTTAGTGGATAACGTGTTGGACATTTAAAGCGAAAGATATCAAGGTTCAATTTCCAATATGAATACTAACACTCTAGGAAATAGGTATATTCATTTGATGAGTTCTAAAGTGGGACGAAACTAGCGTCCTGTATTCCACCGCTAAACATTATTCATCTTATTCATAAATGTGAACACATCATCGACAATCTACCATGAGAGAGAATATACCAGATTTCAGTGGATGAGGAATTCTGAAAGAAGCGATGGAACTGAATAGGACACACTTGAGGAAAGCACCCAATTGCGTCACAAGACAAGCCTTCACTTAGAACCCTCAAGGTCAACGGAGAATAGAAAGGCCAACGAACACATTACGCCGAGAAATAAAGAAAGGTATGAGAAGAATGAACAAAAATTGGACAGAACTGGAAAGGGACACCCGTGAAAGAGTAGGTTCGAGAATGTTGATCGATGACCTCCTATACTCTTGTTGAGCTAAACAAGTGTAAGTTAGTAAATAAGTAATAAATGTGAACAAATTCAAAAAAAACAATTCTTACTTGTCTATTAATGTTTTTTTCTTTTTTTTTTGTTTACCAATTAAAAAATCATACAGGATATTCAATATCAGCATAAAATAGCAATAGATAATTTTCTAGAAGATTTAAGAGGTCTTCTTTTACCAAATGATAATAGAACAAATGAATTGAATCAAGCTATGTATGGATTTACAGATAAATTAAAAATGACTGATAGTAAGTATTCCATATTGATTTATATGCTAATTCACATTATATACAGTAAATACATTTTTTATAAAACTATATTTATCAGTGTTTTCATGAATAGAGGTTACGCAAACCTGTGCATTTGTAGTGAAGGAGAACACAGGTGAGGGCAACCGAATTGTATTTAACGAAAATTACAGAGTCACTCAGTAAAATAGGAAAACCATATCGTAAATCGTTAGTTTGCAAAATATCAGTTCATCATATCGAACTGGACTGTTCCTGTTGCAAAACATCAATCCATTGTCACTATTCATGCGTTTCATACAAATTCCATTGTGTTCTTCTAACTCTTCCTTTCTTGATCTTCCCTCATCTTCTGCTGTCAGACATTACGTTGACACTAACGTCATATAATACTTATAAGTAGCTCGCACCACACATTGATCGAAGTTAGACATGAACACCGTTGGATACCCGGTCTCAGTGGTCCAGAAGTTCGATGTTCACACGCAAGACCGAAGGTCCTGTGTGATGCAGGAGTCGTGTATGTGCACTGCTGATGAATCCCAGACCAGGAAGAAACTGCCATCTTCCAGGTTTCTAATGGTGGTCTAACACTAATCAATTCATAATTTCTATGAATAGAGTTAGCTAAATGAGATATTTTGAAATGAACTGAACAAAAAAAATTCCAAATACAATGTTCACAAATAATGATACACCTTTCTTTTTTTTTACTTAGAAAACAAATTCTTTTATTTGAATTGACTCAGATTTTTAAGTACCATTTTAAAATGTTACAAGAATCATAACAATGATAGAAATACTATAATTTTTTATTTTATACAAATGAAACACCAGTAAATAGTATGTATAAAAACAAATGTTATAAAATTGACAAGACCTTAATAAATAAAAGAAGATAGAGTACTTATTTAGTATTGTTTAAGGTTATAAATGTTTGTCACAATATGTAAAATGTTGAAAAGAATAGGAATGCACTATATTGTTAAAATGTCAAAAGATGGAAATATGTATGTGTGCTAGTGTGTGTGTGTGTGTGTGTGATAACTGACAACAATACCTATCAACCTTAAATGAATTCATATAATGATTAATTTGACAATAGAAACTTTACAGTAGTTGAATTTTTGTTTATCTGTCAATAATATATATATAGTTAAGAATATTTATTATTGATGACGACATTGTGAATACTACTTTTGTAAGAACAAGTAATTTAATACATCTATCATAAGCGGAGATGAATAGTGATTGATAGTGGAATCTAGGACATGTGTTTCGTCCTGTTTGGCACTTGTCAACTGGATGTATCAACATTCCACAGTTAATGTTCAGTTTTGAACACAAACTTAGTATTGTTCACTTCAAACGCCATAAGGTCATATACTTAGCTTTCAATGGCTTAGGATTAGATTCCACTATGAATAGACGATTCAATATTCTATGAAGTAAATCTTTCCTTCATTTTCCGTAGAACCTCGTTTGTGCGATGTACAAATTCAATTCTCACTGAGAGTATCAGTTCCCTTAAAGATTATATTTATGCCCTGTCCATAAATGCTTAATGGCAAAATCATAGTGTTTGGCGATTTCATGGGTCATTTTTCTAAGGATTCAAATTCAGTACAATTTACATGTAAACGTTGTGTTGATTAGAGAGCACTCGACATTACTTAGAAAATTAGTTGCAGATTTAGTTCATCATTCTTAGTTAAAATTTTTCATTGATATGATTTTAGTGGTAACTTTTTCGTCAACTGACTTTCAGAAATTGAACTTCTACCAGGTGATTCGCCTGCTGATTTAGAATATGCCGATGATGTTGTTCTGTTTGTATAGGACGCTGACAAATGCCGAATTGCGTTGCATCGGCACCTGAGTTGAGCGTTTTGATCACTTCACTTATCTTAGGAGTCTTATCAGTGCTGATGGTCTGGTATCCGATGAAATCTCAGCACGGATACAGAAGGCTGGACTGGCTTTGATAATTGGCCTCATTTATGGCGTAGAAATATCCGTTTGCTAACCAAAGGATGAGTGTACTTCACAGCAGTTCGCTCAGTCCTACTTTATGGTTGTGAAACATGGATAGTCAGAGTAGAAGATATTCGTAGGTTGCTGGTTTTCGACCATAGGTGTCTCCGAACCATTGCTTGTGTATCGTGGGACAACCGAGTAAGCAATGCTGTCGTTAGAAAACAAATACTAGGTAAGGATAATAGATCGATCGATGAGGTAATGAATCCTCATCAGTTGAAGTCGTTGGGACATGTGTTACTTAAGTTTGACCACAGGCTCTCTCAACGAGTAATGTTGTCTGATGCAGGGGTATGCTGGAAGAAAGATAGGTGCGTCCAAATCAGAACGTGGTGAAAATCCATGAAATCACTGATAAATGGACTGAGTCATGTTGGTAAGTGTAGACTACCTGGTTGTGGTCTGCGAGACGATAGTAACCGATGCTTAGAGACCTTGAATGACATGGATCAAAATCATTTAAAATGACGGTGTATCCACTCTTTGTGTTCTGTGAAATTCTAATTTTCTGAATTCCTCACCACCTCTATCTTTCTCTTTTTAAACTTATTTCACTGGGATATACTTCTTGAATCAAATCTTCCTTTCCTAATCCTTTGGATTACTGCTAATACTGCCACAACCTATACTGCTATAGGATTTGAACTAACAATTGCATCTATGTACTAATGTGGTATAACGATTTGAACAGATGTACGCGCGTACCGAGTACTACGTTGCTGCTGACTGACTACTGATTTAGTCATTTAAACACATAAGCATTTGTACAAATTAGGTACCTAAATATTTCTTCGCCACACAAATTAATGAATTTGTGACTGGGCTAGGATGCTGGTGAATGATCAAACCGAGGCAGTTGTTGTATTTATGGGGCCACACTGCGGGTGTTTGACTCAACAATCCAATCCACATCGTAATAGAGCAACGTAAAGAGATGCAGTTCCATGGTAGCCGGTGATCAACAATAAGTCCATACACCATTTGTTCCTTTAGCGTCCTGTAATCCATACGTACCACATTGGTTTAGAGCGATAGTTTCCCAACTCTCTTAGGTTTATCCTCCATACCCACCACTCTGGTTAAAGCGCCAGATGTTGCTTTTATACTGCAGTGAACGAGAACACAGGTGGGGCAACCGAATTGTATTTAGCGAAATTACAGAGACACTCAGTAAAATACGAAAACCATATCGTAAATCGTTAATTTGCAAAATATCAGTTCATCACATCAAACTGGACTGTTCCTGTTGCAAAACATCAATCCATTGTCACTATTCATGTGTTTCATACAAATTCCATTGTTTTCTAACTCTTCCTTCCTTGATCTTTCCACATCTTCTGCTGCCAGACATTACGTTGACACTCACGTCATATACTACTTATAAGTAGCTCGCACCACAATACTATAAATCGAAATTAAAAATTCATATTAAATGAATGCAAGTTAGATGAGTTTGTTTTCTTAGCATTAAACTACTTGAAGGTGGTCTACATTTCCAATGAGTATAAAACGGGTTACCCATTAGAATTTCGAAAGGATTAGATACCTGCCTCGTCCAAGTTACCTTGGTGCACTCATGACCTACGAGCTGTAGACTTTACTAAGAATTTTTTTTGAAACCATGAATCGATCAATGTTAGACCACCATTAGAAACCTGGCAGCACCTGGAAGATGGCCATCTCGTCCTGGTGTGGGACTCCTCAGCAATGCGCATCCACGACTCCTGTACCCCGTAGGATTCGAACCTAGGACCTTCGGTATTGTAGACGAACGCCTAACCATCGGACCACTGAGTCAGTATCTAACAATGTTAATGTCTAACTTGATCAATTTACTTGGTATTTTTTTTTGGTCATCCAAAGAACTTGATTTTGTTATCAGTTAGTACTTAAAATTGTTTCGTATCCTTAAGCATTTGACACTTCATTCAGTCAGTGTCCAGATTGCAATTCAACAAGACAGGAAATCCTATCAACTAATTCATTTTTTTAAAATCAAAATATAATCTGCTGGTAGGATCAATAAAAAACGTGATTCATAATTACGATTCAATGAAATGTCCTTAGAATATCTGAATAGTAGTAGATATGCATATGAAAAAAGTTTAAAATTCCTATTTCATCTTCTCAACACATGAGTGTACATGACGAAAGCTCAACACATTCAGAGACAGACATATATGTTCAAAAATACAAATGTTGATGTAGACAGTGCGTGAGTTAAGCTGGAATTTCATTGGTTGAATGTTAAAAGTTAGGTGTTATCGATCGAATACAGACAGATATGATATAGATATATATATATATATAAGATGACTACTATTCTGAAGACATCTCCGTCCCATGTCAATAAAATTTAGATCACTTTCACATGGTTCATTGTTGACTGCACTATTCGGGTTGATCAACAGTCACATGATCCTTTTTAACAATATAAATAGTTAGGCTTTTTTTTCCAATGCTGTTTACTAATATGTGTAAATATACATCTTGGAGAAATGATTGAATATCGATGATAAATAGATTGGGCGCAACATTAATATTTGCAGCGATGCCAATTTTACGAAGAAAACACGGTTGGTCAATTCGAATCAGTTATTATTATAAGCAATGGTACCAGTGTAGGTTTTTTGCAAACATTTTGTTTATTCGTATATCTTTTTTTGTACTAACTTTGCTTCTGCACAGTTGCCATCTTGCTTTTTTGCCTCTCTCTCTGTACCTTTGCGCTCTGGCAAAATTTCGGTATTCTTTTGATACGACGAGATTTCCAGTAAATATACTTATTCATCTAGACTATCGCTTCTTTCTTGTTATTAAGTCATGATAGGATAAAGTTTAAGACTTGAACTTGATGAATAGATGATAGACGTGTTCATAGAGTCCATCTTTGACTTGAACCTCTCTCTATAGATTCCATTGTGTATTACAGAGAGAACTTGTTCAAATATCCAACGTATTTTGTTGTGTTATGTTTACTGATCAAATTAAAATGCAATATTATAATTTGTGATGACTAGTAACTATACTAACCCGTAATTTGAACAATCAATCTAAATCATTATTTAATCTATACTCGAACCAATCAGATCGTTTATTAAACCTTTGTTTTATTTTGACCATTATGCATAAGATAGAAAGATGTAATGTTAAGGCTATATATATAACATTAAACATTTACTTACTTTACTTACTTACGCCTGTTACCACCTCCAATGGAGCATAGGCCGCCAACCAGTTTTCTTTAACCAACTCTGTCCTAGGCTTCCCTCACCATTTCTGTCCAATGTTTGTTCATTCCTCTCATATCTTTCTCTATTTCTCGGCGTAGTGTGTTCCTTGGCCTTCCTCTTTTCCTTTTGCCTTGAGGGTTCCATGTGAGAGCTTGTCTCGTGGCGCAGTTTGGTGGTTTACGTAGTGTGTGTCCTATCCACTTCCACCGCTTCTTCCTCATTTCCCCCTGCACTCGAATCTGGTTTGTTTTCTCCCATAGTTCGTTGTTGCTGATGGTGTCTGGCCAACGAATACGAAGTATTTTGCGTAGACAACTGTTAATAAACACCTGTATCTTCTGGATGATGGCTTTGGTAGTTCTCCATGTTTCCGCTCCATACAATAGAGAACTGTCTTCATATTTCTATTGAAGACATATATTAACTGAAATGAAAAAAAACATACTACTTACATTTTAAAAAGTATGATGAATAATTTACACTTCATTTTTAAATTATTATTGATAAAATTGCTCATTATAATATTTTTCTATTTATCATTGTTTTTTTTTTATTACTTATTAGTTAACAGACAACGTAATTCACATGGTGTAGTTTTAAGAGAACAAGATATTGTTTGTATGCATAGTCCATTATTAAGACTGCGTGATCATGAACGTCAAATGGAACATTTACGTGCACAATCTGAACTAGTTGGAACACATATGACAAATTATTTACGTGATATTGATGCAGATCAAAAACGAGTTGATCAAGAATTATCATTGATAGAGTGAGTTAGTAGTTTTTTATTATTAACACTATTGTGGATTGGAATTATTATTTTCAGTATAAACATCAGTGGGTATAGGTATGTGTGGGTATAGGAAGGATTTGATTTTGACCAATTTGGTCTCGTGTGCTGTTATGGGTATGAGGGCGGTTGTCACTTCTTGGCTGCCCACACTGTGGAAGGTTGTTTCTTAAGGCACCTGAAAAGGAAGATAGATTAGTGTTAGTCTTAAAGATCTGGGTGCGTGACCGCAGGGCCCAAGGGATAACCGTTTGAGGCCGGTCACGCACGGCCTTTTTATGAAAGGTATTTTGAGGATTAGCTCCGTTCGTAAAGGCCCTTAGTGGGCACCGTGACCGCCGAAGACAGAAATCCGTGAAGTAGGGTGTGGTGTGACATTTTTAGGGTCGACCTTTTCTAACCCTTCCTTCCTTGTGAGAAGGCAGCATCGCTGTAGATGCTGGTTGTCCGAGGGAAATACCTTACTGCTGTCACACCCCTCTGCAGTCAGTCAGCAGTACGACTTCGCCCTCAGACCTTGGGTAGCTGCTTTTAGTCTCATCGTTCTCCAATCGACCAGCCTGGCATGGTAGGACCTGCAGGAACATATGTTCCAGCCAGTATAGCTCGGTTGGGTCATCACGATAGGCAAGCCCGACCACCACCACGTCAAGGTATCAGCTACGGTCGGGATAAACATCAGTTGAGGTAATTATCATTAATTGATAGAACTGAATGATTATTGTGTAATAAAATTAACTGCAGTTGAAATCACAGATTACTAGAGTTGATCAAATAGAGCTTTCATAAATGTATAAAAATTTAAACGGTACTAAAAGAAAAAGAAACTGCTCATTATATGATTATGATTTAAGATCAATAACGCATCAAAAACTTATCTTAAAGATATAGAGAATAATTGAACATAATTCGTAGAATATTTGGCGTTTGAGCCAACCAAGTACATCATTTTAATTTCCTTTTCTGATGAAATCCAAATGCTATCAGAATCATTTATATTTATTTAGCTGAAAAGCAATAAATGAAAGTTTATATAGGTGGTTCAGTCATTTTATGAAATCATCAGTCAATCAATGTAAATCGTCATCGTTAATAGAATTAATTAATTGATTACACAAAACTTACGATTTAAATGAATAACATCGAAGTCATTTGCATTTGTCAATCATGTGTTTGTGATAGCATGAAGATATGCATAGAAGTAAGCAAAGATGATTTGTTGCAAACTGAAATAACAATGTCTATCTGTTTAATAGACTGATTAAAATGCTTTAATAAATATATAAAAAAAAACATATACAGACTCATATGCGATTGAAGTAGTTACTCGATAATTCAATGATCACGGTCGTATTGAACGCAAGTTCTTTCTGTAGAATAACTATTATTATCAGACAGGCAAGTAATTGTAATTGTAATCGATCGACTTAGTAAATAGCAGAAAACAGAAAAACACGATGTCAAAGGATTTGACCATTCTGATAGAGAAAATGAAGGTCGAGGTTGGAAAGGACGACATTGGATTTGAAGATATCATGGGACGGACGACATGGACTGGGAGGAAGTGACAAAAACGTTGGCAGATTTGGAAAAACCTGCCTGTAGCCAAAAAAAGAGTATAGATCACAGCGAATTCCACCACGCACACATACACAAAGCTACATGGGTTTCATCGGACCACACTACAAAAAGCTAAGTCCATCTCATCTGAACCGATTAAAGAATTGGATAGGCCATGGAAGACATGAAAACAAAAAGAGGAGCTGACATAGCCTCACATCACCTACCAGTTGTGGCAAAGTTGAAGCTGGAGGCACCGAAGCACCGACAACTGAGTGAACAGCATCACAGCTATTATTTTTCGGCGCACCAAAAAACTCAACGAAATCAAGATATCTGTCAGCAATAAGTTCCAGGCGTTTCATGATCTACTCAATACAAAGACAGACAGACAGATACAACGCAGAACTTCGTACGTAAGTACATCAGTTCAGATTGCTATGCCACCACATCAGCACAGAGACGCAACTGTCAGTTCAAATCCAAGAGTGATATAGCAATAATAGAAGTATTAGCAGTAATGGAGAAGATTAGGGAGCGAAGATATGATTCGAAAAGTATAATTCAGTAAGATAAATTTAGAAGGAGAAAGGTAGAGATTATGAGGAGTGCAGAAGCTTAGAATTTCATAGAACACAAAGAGTGGATACACCTGTGCCATTGCAAACGATTCTGAGCCATGCCGTTCAAGGTCTCTAACCATCGGTGACTTTCGTCTCGCGGACCACAACCAGGAAGCTTACATCTACCAACATGAATCAGTTGACTTGTCAGTGAATTCATGCATTTGTGCCATGTTTTGGTTTGGCCGCCCCTAGCTTTCTTCGAACCTACTCCTACACCACAAAACATAGCTCGTCGAGGCAGTCGGTGGTTCGGCATACGCAACACATGTCCCAACCACCTCAACTGATGAAGTTTCACTACTTCATCTATTGATTTGCCATCCTCACCTAGAACTCGTTTCCTAACGACAACATTGCTTATACGGTTGTCCCATGATACACGAGCAATGCTTCGGAGACATCGATGATCGAAGACTAGTAACCTTCGAAAGTCCTCTACTCTTAAGGGCCAAGTTTCGCATCCGTACAGTAGGACGGAGCGAACTGCTGCACAGTACACTCGTCCTTTGGTTAGAAAGCGGATATCTCGCCTGCGCAATAGGTGAGGCAGGTTGGCAAAAGCCAATCGAGACTTGTGTATCCGAGTTGAAATTTCGTCAGTCACCAGGCCATCGACACTGATGAGACTCCCAAGATAAGTGAAGCGGTCTACGCGTTCGACTACTTCATTCCTTATCACCAGTTCAGATGCCGATGAAACCCAATCTCGAAGCAACACTTTGCATTTCGAAAGGAAAATCCGCATCCCGAACATGCTTGCATTGTTGCTTAGGGTGGTCAGAAGACTCTGCATTTTGTCAGCATCTTCAACAAGTAGGACTATGTCATCGGCATATTCTAAGTCAATAAGCGCGCCTCCTGGTAAAAGCTGTACTCCCGAAAATGCAGACATGGATAAGGTTATTTCTAGGAGCATGTCTATGATAAAATTAAACAAGAATGGAGAGAGTAGACATCTCTGACGGACACAACTTGAAGTAAAGAATTCCGGTGACAGTTCGCCATAAGCTCTCACTCGACCAGTGGTGTTCGAGTAGAGAGCTTGTATAAGGTTAATGTACTTATTTGGTACACCTTTCAAAGATAGACACTGCCAAAGAACCTCACGATCCACTGAGTCGAATGCCGCTTTTAGGTCCAGGAAAACAACTATTGTAGGACGCCTAAATGTGTGTCTATGTTCCAGGACCTGTCTGAGTGTGAAGATGTGGTCTATACAGCCGCGTCCAGGTCTGAAACCAGCCTGGTTTTCTCTAGTCTGCTCTTCACGAGCACTAGTATGATCGAGGCCAACAATTCAGAAACTATATTAGTTAGACTTATTCCTCTGTGATTGTCACAAGAAGACTTTTGTCCTTTCTTGTAGATTGGGACAATCAGGGATTGAGACCATTCGGATGGGATTACGTCCAGTTCCCAGATTCTACTTAAGATCTCAGTCAACCTATCTGCTAAAACTGGACCACCATTCTTAAAAATCCCATGCTTAAGCCTATCATCGTCTGCCCACACCGTGGAAGGTTGTTTCTTGAAAAACCTGAAAAGGAAGATAGATTAGTGTTGGTGCGTGACCGCAGAGCCCAAGGGACAACTGCTTGAGGCCGGTCACGCACGGCCTTTTTATGAAATGTTTTATGAGGACTAGCTCCGTTCTTAAAGGCCTCTAGTGGGCACCCTTACCCAAGGAGACGGAAATCCGTGAAGTAGGGTGTGGTGTGACATTTTTATGGTCGACCTTTTCTAACCCTTCCTTCCTTGTGAGAAGGCAGCATCGCTGCAGATGCTGGTTGTCCGAGGGAAACACCTTACTGCTGTCACACCCCTCTGCAGTCAGTCAGCGGTACGACTTCGCCCTCAGACCTTGGGTAGCTGCTTTTAGTCTCATCGTTCTCTAGTCGACCTGTCTGGCATGGTAGAACCTTGAGGAACATGTGTTCCAGCCAGTATAGCTCGGTTGGGTCATCACGATAGGCAAGCCCGACCACCACGTCAAGGTAGCAGCTACGGTCGGGTAGCAGCGATGTGATCTAGTCGAGTCCAACGTTGAGACGACTTTGGAGGTCGCCAGGTCAACAGGGGCTTTTCCTTATGCCTATAGTTATTGTTTGCTGGAAATAGGCGGTTATCTGAGCATACTTGCAACAGACGGTCGCCATTGTCTGTCCTCTGAGCCGCGACACCATTACATCCACCCAGGTGTTTTTCATTTTCACTCAATCTACCTACTTGAGCATTAAAGTCACCAGGATCCTGTATGCGCGTTTCCGAGACGCAGCATACATCAATTGAGCGAGATTCTAATGTTCTAGCTAAGGGAGCCTGTTGCCCTATTTGACATAATGTACGTACATTAAATGCTCCAACATGAAGTCTAGAACGGGGTTTCAGGAGACCAGAAATAACGTTTCGTGAACTCGCATCGCTTGCATTAACTGTGCACTGTGATAAAGGATTCTGACCAATTCGGTCTCGTGTGCTGGTACGGGTATGAGGGCGGTTGTCACTTCCCGGCTGCCCACACCGTGGAAGGTTGTTTCTAGAGGAACCTGAAAAGAAAGGTATATTAGCGTTGGTCTTAGAGACCTGGGAGCGTGACCGCAGAGCCCAAGGGATAACTGCTTGAGGCCGGTCACGCACGGCCTTTTTATGAAGGGTTTTTTGAGTATTAGCTCCGCTCTTAAAGGCCCTTAGTAGGCACCCTTACCGCCGAAGACGGAAATCTGTGAAGTAGGGTGTGGTGTGACATTTTTAGGGTCGACCTTTTCTAACCCTTCCTTCCTTGTGAGAAGGCAGCATCGCTGTAGATGCTGGTTGTTCGAGGGAAATACCTTACTGCTGTCACACCCCTCTGCAGTCAGTCAGCAGTACGACTTCTCCCTTAGACCTTGGGTAGCTGCTTTTAGTCTCATCGTTCTCCAATCGACCAGCCTGTCATGGTAGGACCTGCAGGGACATGTGTTCCAGCCAGTATAGCTCGGCTGGGTCATCACGATAGGCAAGCCCGACCACCACCACGTCAAGGTAACAGCTACGGTCGGGGATCTACTCAATGAAGACGAAACTACAATGTAGAACAACTGGAAACGGATGTGAGAAGCGACTATAGTATGTCATGTGGTTCTGAGTCACAAGAAAACATCACAAGGAATGGATCTCTGTGGAAGCTCTTGATAAGATTGAAGAAGCGAAAAACAAGAAGGCAGCAATCAATCACAGCCGAGCAAGAGCAAATAAAGCCAAGACACAAGCTGAATACACCAAAGCAAAGAAGAAAGTGAGGAAGAGCATCACAGCTGACAAATGTAAATATGTGGACGATCTAGTAGCGACAGTAGAGAAAGCGGCAAGACAAGTAAATATGAGACAAATTATTGTTGACCCAACAAACAGTTGAAGAGATCAGGATGGCTTTCAGACAAATAAAAAGCGGCAGTCAAAATTCCAGCTGAGGCAATGAAAGCAGACACAACATTAACTGCAAAGATATTCCACGCCCTCTTCAGCAAGATTTGGGATGAAGAACAAGTACCAGCAAACTGGGAAGAAACATACCTCATCAAGATATCAAAGAAAGATCTCAGCAAGTGTGAGAACTACAGAGGTATAATTCTTCTTTCAATACTAGGCAAAGTCTTCAACAGGGAGTTTATGGACAGAATGAAGAACTTCGTAGATGCACAACTACGAGATCAAGAGGTTGGATTCCTTAAGAATCGATTATGTACCGGCGAAATTGCGACACTACAGGTCATCGTCGAATAATCAATTTAATGGAACTCAATGCTATACCTCAGCTCCTCTGACTACGAGAAGGCGTTCGACAGCGTGGAAAGGACAACACTATGTAGGCTTCGTCGACACTACGGCGTGCCTGAGAAGGTAGTCATCATTATACGGAATTCTTATGATGGATTAAACTGCAAAACTCGTGCACGTAGGACAGCTAACAGACTCGTTCGAGGTGAAGACTGGTGTCAGGCAACGTTGCCTACTCTCACCCTTTCTCTTTCTCCTGGTTACTGACTGGATTGTGAAGACATCAACGTCCTGGAGGAAGCACGGGATACAGAGGACAGCAGGGATGCAACTGAGCAATTTGGACTTCCCAGATGATTGAGCTCTTCTGTTGCACTCACAACAACAAATGGAGACGAAGACGACCAATGTAGCAGCAGGTCTCAACATACATAAAGGTAAAAGCAAGATTCTACAATACAACACAATATGCGCCGACCAAATCATTCGTGATAGAGATGCCTTAGAGGACGTTAGTACCCTTACATATCAGGACAGCATCATTGATGAGCAAGGTGAATCGAATGCACAAATGAAAGATCGACAAAACAAGAGTGACATTTCTACGAGTGAAGAATATCTGGAACTCCAGACAAATATCAACCAACACCAAAGTCACAATTTTCAATACAAATGTCAAGACAATTCTACTGTATGGGGGTGAAACTTAGAAAAATACGAAAGCCGTCATCCCGGAGATACAGGTGTTGATTAACAACTGTCACGCAAAATACTTTGGATCTGCTGGCCAGACAACACCAGCAACAACCTACTGTGGGAGTGATTACGCGAGCCTGCAGGTGTAGAAGAAATGAGGAGTAAGTAAGTCAACAACAACATATCACATTAGCACAGAGACGCAATCGTCACTTCAAATCACATAGTAGTAGAGGTAGTAGAAGTATTAGTAGTATTCAGAAATTTCAGGGTTCGATGATATTATTCAAGAAGTGGAATTTAGTGAAATAAACTTAAAAGAAAAAGACAAAAGTGATGAGGAATTCCAAAGGTTCGGATTTGAGAAATCACAAAGAATGAATGCACCTGCGCATTACAAACGATCTTAAGCCATGTCATTCAGTGTCTCTAACCACCGAATACTATCGTCTCGCGGGCCCTAACCAGGTAGTCAGTTGTCAGTGACTTCATCTATTTGTGCCTTGTTTTGGCTTGGCCGCCCCTAGCTTTCTTCCAACCTATTCCTACACTACAAAACATAGCTCGACAAAGCAGTCGGTGGTTGGGCATTCGAAACACATGTCCCATCCATCTCGACTGATGAAGTTTCAATACTTCATCATAAGGTTAAGAAGAAGCCGTGCAAAGATAGGGACACGCTGTAGGCTTTTTGTTGTCTCTACCTGCTCTACCTCTGACTGCGGTTCAGACGACACAAAGGATAAGTTCTACAGAAACCTCTCTGACCGCCTTCAAAAAATTAAGGGCTCTGATGTAGTAATAATGGCTGGTGACTATAATGCTCAAGTAGGTAGACTAAGTGAAAACGAAAGACACCTGGGAAGATCTTATGGTATCGCGGCTAATCGAACAGATAATGGCGACCGTCTGCTGCAACTATGCTCAGATATCCGCGAATTTTAGCAAATTCTAACGATAAAAATAGGGAAAATCATCTCTTGACCTGGTGATCTCTAGAGCCGATTCAACAATGAACCAAACTGGATTGTATCGCCATCAGCCATCGATGGAGGGGTTAGATAGAGGAATTCCACTCGTTCTGGAGAACTTATTTAGATTCAAACCATATAATAGTGCGAGCGCGTATTTGTTTGCATGATAGTGGACGTAGGAAAACTATCTCAAGGAAACCTCTTAAGGTTCTACTTAATGATAATAAAGCTAAGAATAAATTTCAGGAACAACTAGAAAGTAATTTAGGCAGCCCTGTAGTAAGTGATTCCCATCCGGATGAAGGTTGGGATAATATCCAAAAGACTGTATAAACAGCAGTGATATCTGCTAGTAAGGGAAACCACAAGGTTGGGGAGAAACGTCGAATTTCAGTAGCATCTACCGGACTGATGGATGATCGAAAACTGGTTAAGAGTACGATGAGGAGCAAAGTCAGCTTAGGTGAAGGCTGATAAGAAGCCTACGCGATAATCAAGAACAGTGGTGGGTAGTGAAAGCGAGATGGAAAAGGCAGCGGCGATAGGCGACAGTAGGCAACTATTCAGACTTATCAAGGAAACCGACATTAGGAATCCGAATGTAAGTGAGACCATTTCGTGAGACTATTTTATTCACTCTCAACCCAGGAGATTGGATCGATGTGCAGAACACTTTAGCGATCATTTCGATTGGCCTTCAGCCACACTTCCGTTGCCCACGACCTCCAATCAAGCTGAATGACAAATCAACATAAGTCCTCCGACTCTAAGAAGTTGAGAAAGCGATAGGAAATCTGAAGCAAGGGAGAGCAGAGGGTCCTGACAGACTGACCTATGATATTTTCAAGGATTATGGTCCAGTTTTAGCAGCTATATTGATTGGTTGGGGCCCGCGAGATGATAGTAATCGATGGTTAGACACACTGAATGACATGGCTTAAGATCGTTTGTAATGCGCAGGTGCATTCATTCCTTGTGATTTCTCAAATCCGAACCTTTGGAATTCCTTATCACTTTTGTCTTTTTCTTTTAAGTTTATTTCACTAAATTCCACTTCTTGAATAATATCATCGAACCCTGAAATTTCCGAATACTACTAATACTTCTACTACCTCTACTACTATGTGATTTGAAGTGACGATTGCGTCCCTGTGCTAATATGATATGGCGACCTCAACTGATTTACGTACGTAAAAATTTCTCTGTTGTTTTTATTGTTGTATATGTTGATGAGGATCTTATTAAGTCTAATACTGCTAGTTAGTAATGTTTGTTTATGTAAAATTATTATATTTGTATGCGTTTTTTTTAATGTTTCTTCTTTAGTCAATTACAACATGAAAGTCAATCTCAACTGGATCAATTAATAAATCGTGTAAAAAGATGGAGTAGCCGGTATGAGCATGAACCGAATATCGATTCAAGTATAAGCAATTCTAGAATGAGTTCTAGTTTAAAATCTAGTACAATATCTGACAATTGGACAGGAGGTGGTGGTAATCATCAAATGTATCAAACAACCGATGTAAGATCACCTCAATCTATTATTAGAGAAACATCACGATTATCATCTAGTATAAGATCTGAATCAATTCCACGTCCAGTACTTGATGCTATTACACAAATTGGTGTTACAACTAAAACTATAGGAACTCAAATTTCTAATTTATATGATCTTACTACTGATAATGATGGTCGTGGTGAAATAGATTTACGCCGATCTAATAGACAATTTATGCCAACAATAATGCCTGAAAGAAAACAAGTAAGAAATGCAATAACTCAAATTGGTGTTTCAAAAGCTGATGCAAGCACACAAGATGACTATCCTAGATCTAGTCCTAAACGTTTAGTTAAAGAAGTTTTATGTCAAATAGGTCAAGTTACAACAAACACTTCATGTCAAACATTAGAACCTTATAAACCACAAAAAATGCATAAAACATCTAATTTGGATGCGATAGTTCAATCTGGTGTTGTCACAAAAAATAATTCCACTCAATCGGAATATATCACAGAAACATTTGTTAAAATGAATCAACTTGAATTACAAAAAGCTGCAAGAAAATACAACGTACTAGATGCAATTTGTCAAATAGGACAAGTAACACAAACAACTGGAACACAAATAAATATAAGAGATTCAGAAAGAAATAAGAAAAACTTTGGCATACAAGTAGAAATGAATGCACCATGGCAAAATCCAGTAAAAACAACTGAGGCCGCATGTCAAATAGGTAGGGTAACAATGAATGCAAACACAGAGACGTCACCAATGATCATTAGTAAAGAAAACAATGCCAGACAAGATGTTAAGAAAACAGATATAACGTGTCAAATTGGTCAAGTTCAAAGAACAACAGCAACACAGACCGTAGTTACAGAAAAATATATAAAACCGACATCTGATGTAGTCTGTCAGGTAGGAAGTGTTATGGCATCCGCTGCGATGCAGATAGATGAGCCACGAAAAACTCCTGTGTTACTGGCAGGAACTCAAAGTGCCAGGACATCGACTCACAACAAGGATATACAAGCAGATATGGGATTCCGAATGGAGCCGACGTTTGTGCCGAAGGCTGTCAGTGATGTCATATGTCAGGTTGGACAGGTAAAGAATGAAGTGTCAACACAGTCAGTCGAATACACAACTGGTAGACCAGCATGTAAAGAAACGGGCGTCGATCCGATTCACGCATGGGAGAAGAAGATAGCCAATGACGTCGTTACACAAACAGGAGTCGTTCACACATCTAAAACAACACAAGCTGAATTGATACAAGAACAACCTGTATATGTGAAGGCGATAGAAACTCAGGATGTACCAATCACATCGTACAAGCAGACCATAGATGCATACCAACAAGTTGACCTAGTCAAGCATATGTGGCGCAAGCCGACATCTGATGTAGTCTGTCAGGTAGGAAGTGTTATGGCATCCGCTGCAATGCAGATAGATGAGCCGCGAAAAACTCCTGTGTTACTGGCAGGAACTCAAAGTGCCAGGACATCGACTCACAACAAGGATATACAAGCAGATATGGGATTCCGAATGGAGCCGACGTTTGTGCCGAAGGCTGTCAATGACGTCATATGTCAGGTTGGACAGGTAAAGAATGAAGTGTCAACACAGTCAGTCGAATACACAACTGGTAGACCAGCATGTAAAGAAACGGGCGTCGATCCGATTCACACATGGGAGAAGAAGATAGCCAATGATGTCGTTACACAAACAGGAGTCGTTCACACATCTAAAACAACACAAGCTGAATTGATACAAGAACAACCTGTATATGTGAAGGCGATAGAAACTCAGGATGTACCAATCACATCGTACAAGCAGACCATAGATGCATACCAACAAGTTGACCTAGTCAAGCATATGTGGCGCAAGCCGACATCTGATGTAGTCTGTCAGGTAGGAAGTGTTATGGCATCCGCTGCAATGCAGATAGATGAGCCACGAAAAACTCCTGTGTTACTGGCAGGAACTCAAAGTGCCAGGACATCGACTCACAACAAGGATATACAAGCAGATATGGGATTCCGAATGGAGCCGACGTTTGTGCCGAAGGCTGTCAATGACGTCATATGTCAGGTTGGACAGGTAAAGAATGAAGTGTCAACACAGTCAGTCGAATACACAACTGGTAGACCAGCATGTAAAGAAACGGGCGTCGATCCGATTCACGCATGGGAGAAGAAGATAGCCAATGACGTCGTTACACAAACAGGAGTCGTTCACACATCTAAAACAACACAAGCTGAATTGATACAAGAACAACCTGTATATGTGAAGGCGATAGAAACTCAGGATGTACCAATCACATCGTACAAGCAGACCATAGATGCATACCAACAAGTTGACCTAGTCAAGCATATGTGGCGCAAGCCGACATCTGATGTAGTCTGTCAGGTAGGAAGTGTTATGGCATCCGCTGCGATGCAGATAGATGAGCCACGAAAAACTCCTGTGTTACTGGCAGGAACTCAAAGTGCCAGGACATCGACTCACAACAAGGATATACAAGCAGATATGGGATTCCGAATGGAGCCGACGTTTGTGCCGAAGGCTGTCAATGATGTCATATGTCAGGTTGGACAGGTAAAGAATGAAGTGTCAACACAGTCAGTCGAATACACAACTGGTAGACCAGCATGTAAAGAAACCGGCGTCGATCCGATTCACACATGGGAGAAGAAGATAGCCAATGACGTCGTTACACAAACAGGAGTCATTCACACATCTAAAACAACACAAGCTGAATTGATACAAGAACAACCTGTATATGTGAAGGCGATAGAAACTCAGGATGTACCAATCACATCGTACAAGCAGACCATAGATGCATACCAACAAGTTGACCTAGTCAAGCATATGTGGCGCAAGCCGACATCTGATGTAGTCTGTCAGGTAGGAAGTGTTATGGCATCCGCTGCAATGCAGATAGATGAGCCGCGAAAAACTCCTGTGTTACTGGCAGGAACTCAAAGTGCCAGGACATCGACTCACAACAAGGATATACAAGCAGATATGGGATTCCGAATGGAGCCGACGTTTGTGCCGAAGGCTGTCAATGACGTCATATGTCAGGTTGGACAGGTAAAGAATGAAGTGTCAACACAGTCAGTCGAATACACAACTGGTAGACCAGCATGTAAAGAAACGGGCGTCGATCCGATTCACACATGGGAGAAGAAGATAGCCAATGATGTCGTTACACAAACAGGAGTCGTTCACACATCTAAAACAACACAAGCTGAATTGATACAAGAACAACCTGTATATGTGAAGGCGATAGAAACGCAGGATGTTCCAGTTTCAGTATACAAGAAAACATCAGATAAAGGGGATCAAACTGAGTCTATAAGACGTCCGCTAGCCGATGTAGTGTGTCAAGTCGGTAGCGTTTTTGAAGATGGGGGATCACAGACTGATGCAGAATATAGAAAACAGTCATTTGCAGTCGGTACAAAAAATATTTCAGTGTCTCATAAGGAGTCTGGAACTCAGTTCCAGAAAGACACGTTGTCATTTACTGTACAAGCTGATTTGATTGGTAAAACCATGAAACGTTCAGTATCATGCTTCGACCTTGTAACACAGTGTGGAGTTGTTAGTGACACGAAAGGTTCTCAAACTATCGAATTAATGGAGAAAATCCAGAGACCAGTTGTTAGACCACAATTAGATGTGGTAACACAAGCTGGAGTAATTATGAAAACGGAAGGAACAATGACAAGGACAGAAGTCGTGGAATGGATTCCTCCGATTGTATCAGTCGGAACAGATCCGAGACCAGAAGTTACATCAAGAGATGTAGGTTCATACCAAGCACCACCAGTCATAGAGAGACAAAGTAGGCAAGTACAGGCAGAAATCAAACCGACATTCAGACATACGGATATGCAAACAGAGGCTAGAACAAAAGAAACTGTAATATCGACGGGTATGGTTAAAGCAGTTGAAGTAACAACTCAATCTGCAACAGAAAAAACAGATAAAGATGTTCAAACATTTATAACATGTAAGTCAAAAGAAATACAAACAATGGACAGTTCGCCAGAAAGTGAAGTGAAAATGAGAAGCCAACAAACATCTGCTCGATTGCAAAGAAGAAATTATGACGTACAAACACAATCAGGAACAATAAGTATGTCTCAAGCGTTTCAAACAAAATTAGATTATAAACCGACAACAGAAAAACGATCAACCGCAATGCAGCACGATGTAGACTTAGGAGTGGTGCAAACAACGCATCTGGCGCCACAAACACAAGAGACACCAACGCAAACTGAACGACCAAGATTGAAAGACCAGCAATCGTTTACGTCGTTCAAGTTAAAAACATTTGATGTTCAGACTCAGTTCGGAAGTATACAAACGTCACAAGCTGCGCAAACGTATATTGAACAGAGACCAGTAATCGAAATGAAGGAGGTAAGCACCGTACACGAGAAACGTCCAGAAACTACCGTACACAAGAAACTACAAGCAATCGTGCAACCGCCCACTATCAACACAGAAACTCAGACAATAGAAGAGAGACCGCCTCCAATCGTCCAGCCAGCAAGAACGTTCGATGTGCAGACACAGTCAGGATCAATAACCATGAATTCAGAAACTCAAACACCACAAGAACGTAAACCAGTAATCGAGATGAAGGAGGTGAGCACCGTATACGAGAAACGTCCAGAACCTACCGTACACAAGAAACTACAAGCAATCGTGCAACCGCCCACTATAAACACAGAAACTCAGACAACGGAAAAGAGACCGCCGATAACGATCGATGTACAGACACAGTCAGGATCAATAACCATGAATTCAGAAACTCAAACACCACAAGAACGTAAACCAGTAATCGAGATGAAGGAGGTGAGCACCGTACACGAGAAACGTCCAGAACCTACCGTACACAAACAACTACAAGCAATCGTGCAATCACCCACTATCAACACAGAAACTCAGACGATAGAAGAGAGACCACCTCCACTCGTCCAGCCAGCAAGAACGTTCGATGTGCAGACACAGTCAGGATCAATAACCATGAATTCAGAAACTCAAACACCACAAGAACGTAAACCAGTAATCGAGATGAAGGAGGTGAGCACCGTATACGAGAAACGTCCAGAAACTACCGTACACAAGAAACTACAAGCAATCGTGCAACCGCCCACTATCAACACAGAAACTCAGACAATAGAAGAGAGACCGCCTCCAATCGTCCAGCCAGCAAGAACGTTCGATGTGCAGACACAGTCAGGATCAATAACCATGAATTCAGAAACTCAAACACCACAAGAACGTAAACCAGTAATCGAGATGAAGGAGGTGAGCACCGTACACGAGAAACGTCCAGAACCTACCGTACACAAGAAACTACAAGCAATCGTGCAACCGCCCACTATCAACACTGAAACTCAGACGATAGAAGAGAGACCACCTCCACTCGTCCAGCCAGCAAGAACGTTCGATGTGCAGACACAGTCAGGATCAATAACCATGAATTCAGAAACTCAAACACCACAAGAACGTAAACCAGTAATCGAGATGAAGGAGGTGAGCACCGTATACGAGAAACGTCCAGAACCTACCGTACACAAGAAACTACAAGCAATCGTGCAACCGCCCACTATCAACACAGAAACTCAGACAACGGAAAAGAGACCGCCGATAACGATCGATGTACAGACACAGTCAGGATCAATAACCATGAATTCAGAAACTCAAACACCACAAGAACGTAAACCAGTAATCGAAATGAAGGAGGTGAGCACCGTACACGAGAAACGTCCAGAACCTACCGTACACAAGAAACTACAAGCAATCGTGCAACCGCCCACTATCAACACAGAAACTCAGACAACGGAAAAGAGACCGCCGATAACGATCGATGTACAGACACAGTCAGGATCAATAACAATGAATTCAGAAACTCAAACACCACAAGAACGTAAACCAGTAATCGAAATGAAGGAGGTGAGCACCGTACACGAGAAACGTCCAGAACCTACCGTACACAAGAAACTACAAGCAATCGTGCAACCGCCCACTATCAACACAGAAACTCAGACGATAGAAGAGAGACCACCTCCACTCGTCCAGCCAGCAAGAACGTTCGATGTGCAGACACAGTCAGGATCAATAACCATGAATTCAGAAACTCAAACACCACAAGAACGTAAACCAGTAATCGAAATGAAGGAGGTGAGCACCGTACACGAGAAACGTCCAGAAACTACCGTACACAAGAAACTACAAGCAATCGTGCAACCGCCCACTATCAACACAGAAACTCAGACAATAGAAGAGAGACCGCCTCCAATCGTCCAGCCAGCAAGAACGTTCGATGTGCAGACACAGTCAGGATCAATAACCATCAATTCAGAAACTCAAACACCACAAGAACGTAAACCAGTAATCGAGATGAAGGAGGTGAGCACCGTACACGAGAAACGTCCAGAAACTACCGTACACAAGAAACTACAAGCAATCGTGCAACCGCCCACTATAAACACAGAAACTCAGACAACGGAAAAAAGACAGCCGATAACAATCGATGTGCAGACACAATCAGGTTTTGCTAAATGTGATTCAGAAACACAAACTTTACACGAACCTCACGCAGTACCGGTTATAAAGGATGTCAGTGTTAGACATGAATCACATCACGTACAAACAGTAAACAAGAAACTACAGGCAATGGTATCTCTTCCGTCAGATGATGTGTGTTTGCAAACAGACGAGCTAACGGTACATACTGTCAAACCTATCACTCAGGCAGTTTATCGGGCCCCGGAAGTCGAACACAAGCAAACACAAGCGGAATTTATGAAAACCGCCGTAAAAGCATATGATATACAAACACAGTCAGGTACAGTAGTCAGTACACAATCCACGCAAACTATTCTAGAGGAACGACCACTAGTCCATACAGCAGATGTTGGTGTGATTCATAGTGAGAAATCACCATCACTGGTAAACAAGAAATTGCAAGTAACCATGCGTCAATCAGTTGACAACACTAGCATGCAAACTGACCCGATGGTGCAAATTCCAGTTGTTGTGCCCAAGACCACATTCGATGTTGTCACTCAGTCTGGTACAATATTCTGTGCACAAGCTGTTCAGACTGTTCCTGAGGAACGACCTATACTACACACTGCGGACGTCAGTGTAATTCATTCTGAGAAATCGCCATCTGTGTTGCACAGGAATGTTCAGGCAACCGTGCGTCAATCACTTGAGAACTCTAGCACGCAAACTGACCCGATGGTGCAAATTCCAGTTGTTGTGCCCAAGACCACATTCGATGTTGTCACTCAGTCTGGTACAATATTCTGTGCACAAGCTGTTCAGACTGTTCCTGAGGAACGACCTATAATTACACACTGCGGACTGTCAGTGTAATTCATTCTGAGAAATCGCCATCTGCTAGTTAGCACAGGAACTGTTCAAGGCAACCCGTGCGTCAATCACTTGAGAACTCTAGCACGCAAACTGACCCGATGGTGCAAATTCCAGTTGTTGTGCCCAAGACCACATTCGATGTTGTCACTCAGTCTGGTACAATATTCTGTGCACAAGCTGTTCAGACTGTTCCTGAGGAACGACCTATACTAAAAACTGCGGATGTTAGTGTGATTCACAGTGAGAAATCACCGTCACTAGTAAGCAAGAAACTTGCAAGTAACCATGCGTCAATCAGTTGACAACACTAGCACGCAAACTGACCCGATGATTCAGACAGTATCAATTCCCGCAGTAATACCGAATAAAACGATCGATGTCCAAACACAGTCAGGTTTTGTTAAATGTGATTCAGAAACACAAACTTTACACGAACCTCACGCAGTACCGGTTATAAAGGATGTCAGTGTTAGACATGAATCACATCACGTACAAACAGTAAACAAGAAACTACAGGCAATGGTATCTCTTCCGTCAGATGATGTGTGTTTGCAAACAGACGAGCTAACGGTACATACTGTCAAACCTATCACTCAGGCAGTTTATCGGGCCCCGGAAGTCGAACACAAGCAAACACAAGCGGAATTTATGAAAACCGCTGTAAAAACATATGATATACAAACACAGTCAGGTACAGTAGTCAGTACACAATCCACGCAAACTATTCTAGAGGAACGACCACTAGTCCATACAGCAGATGTTGGTGTGATTCATAGTGAGAAATCACCATCACTGGTAAACAAGAAATTGCAAGTAACCATGCGTCAATCAGTTGACAACACTAGCACGCAAACTGACCCGATGGTGCAAATTCCAGTTGTTGTGCCCAAGACCACATTCGATGTTGTCACTCAGTCTGGTACAATATTCTGTGCACAAGCTGTTCAGACTGTTCCTGAGGAACGACCTATACTACACACTGCGGACGTCAGTGTAATTCATTCTGAGAAATCGCCATCTGTGTTGCACAGGAATGTTCAGGCAACCGTGCGTCAATCACTTGAGAACTCTAGCACGCAAACTGACCCGATGGTGCAAATTCCAGTTGTTGTGCCCAAGACCACATTCGATGTTGTCACTCAGTCTGGTACAATATTCTGTGCACAAGCTGTTCAGACTGTTCCTGAGGAACGACCTATACTACACACTGCGGACGTCAGTGTAATTCATTCTGAGAAATCGCCATCTGTGTTGCACAGGAATGTTCAGGCAACCGTGCGTCAATCACTTGAGAACTCTAGCACGCAAACTGACCCGATGGTGCAAATTCCAGCTGTTGTGCCCAAGACCACATTCGATGTTGTCACTCAGTCTGGTACAATATTCTGTGCACAAGCTGTTCAGACTGTTCCTGAGGAACGACCTATATTACGCACTGCGGATGTTAATGTGATTCATGGTGAGATGTCACCGTCGCTAGTAAGCAAGAAACTGCAAGCAACCATGCGTCAATCACTTGAGAACTCTAGCACGCAAACTGACCCGATGGTGCAAATTCCAGTTGTTGTGCCCAAGACCACATTCGATGTTGTCACTCAGTCTGGTACAATATTCTGTGCACAAGCTGTTCAGACTGTTCCTGAGGAACGACCTATACTAAAAACTGCGGATGTTAGTGTGATTCACAGTGAGAAATCACCATCACTGGTAAACAAGAAATTGCAAGTAACCATGCGTCAATCAGTTGACAACACTAGCACGCAAACTGACCCGATGATTCAGACAGTATCAATTCCCGCAGTAATACCGAATAAAACGATCGATGTCCAAACACAGTCAGGTTTTGTTAAATGTGATTCAGAAACACAAACTTTACACGAACCTCACGCAGTACCGGTTATAAAGGATGTCAGTGTTAGACATGAATCACATCACGTACAAACGGTAAACAAGAAACTACAGGCAATGGTATCTCTTCCGTCAGATGATGTGTGTTTGCAAACAGACGAGCTAACGGTACATACTGTCAAACCTATCACTCAGGCAGTTTATCGGGCCCCGGAAGTCGAACACAAGCAAACACAAGCGGAATTTATGAAAACCGCTGTAAAAACATATGATATACAAACACAGTCAGGTACAGTAGTCAGTACACAATCCACGCAAACTATTCTAGAGGAACGACCACTAGTCCATACAGCAGATGTTGGTGTGATTCATAGTGAGAAATCACCATCACTGGTAAACAAGAAATTGCAAGTAACCATGCGTCAATCAGTTGACAACACTAGCACGCAAACTGACCTGATGATTCAGACAGTATCAATTCCCGCAGTAATACCGAATAAAACGATCGATGTCCAAACACAGTCAGGTTTTGTTAAATGTGATTCAGAAACACAAACTTTACACGAACCTCACGCAGTACCGGTTATAAAGGATGTCAGTGTTAGACATGAATCACATCACGTACAAACGGTAAACAAGAAACTACAGGCAATGGTATCTCTTCCGTCAGATGATGTGTGTTTGCAAACAGACGAGCTAACGGTACATACTGTCAAACCTATCACCCAGGCAGTTTATCGGGCCCCGGAAGTCGAACACAAGCAAACACAAGCGGAATTTATGAAAACCGCTGTAAAAACATATGATATACAAACACAGTCAGGTACAGTAGTCAGTACACAATCCACGCAAACTATTCTAGAGGAACGACCACTAGTCCATACAGCAGATGTTGGTGTGATTCATAGTGAGAAATCACCATCACTGGTAAACAAGAAATTGCAAGTAACCATGCGTCAATCAGTTGACAACACTAGCATGCAAACTGACCCGATGGTGCAAATTCCAGTTGTTGTGCCCAAGACCACATTCGATGTTGTCACTCAGTCTGGTACAATATTCTGTGCACAAGCTGTTCAGACTGTTCCTGAGGAACGACCTATACTACACACTGCGGACGTCAGTGTAATTCATTCTGAGAAATCGCCATCTGTGTTGCACAGGAATGTTCAGGCAACCGTGCGTCAATCACTTGAGAACTCTAGCACGCAAACTGACCCGATGGTGCAAATTCCAGTTGTTGTGCCCAAGACCACATTCGATGTTGTCACTCAGTCTGGTACAATATTCTGTGCACAAGCTGTTCAGACTGTTCCTGAGGAACGACCTATACTACACACTGCGGACGTCAGTGTAATTCATTCTGAGAAATCGCCATCTGTGTTGCACAGGAATGTTCAGGCAACCGTGCGTCAATCACTTGAGAACTCTAGCACGCAAACTGACCCGATGGTGCAAATTCCAGTTGTTGTGCCCAAGACCACATTCGATGTTGTCACTCAGTCTGGTACAATATTCTGTGCACAAGCTGTTCAGACTGTTCCTGAGGAACGACCTATACTACACACTGCGGACGTCAGTGTAATTCATTCTGAGAAATCGCCATCTGTGTTGCACAGGAATGTTCAGGCAACCGTGCGTCAATCACTTGAGAACTCTAGCACGCAAACTGACCCGATGGTGCAAATTCCAGCTGTTGTGCCCAAGACCACATTCGATGTTGTCACTCAGTCTGGTACAATATTCTGTGCACAAGCTGTTCAGACTGTTCCTGAGGAACGACCTATATTACGCACTGCGGATGTTAATGTGATTCATGGTGAGATGTCACCGTCACTAGTAAGCAAGAAACTGCAAGCAACCATGCGTCAATCACTTGAGAACTCTAGCACGCAAACTGACCCGATGGTGCAAATTCCAGTTGTTGTGCCCAAGACCACATTCGATGTTGTCACTCAGTCTGGTACAATATTCTGTGCACAAGCTGTTCAGACTGTTCCTGAGGAACGACCTATACTACACACTGCGGACGTCAGTGTAATTCATTCTGAGAAATCGCCATCTGTGTTGCACAGGAATGTTCAGGCAACCGTGCGTCAATCACTTGAGAACTCTAGCACGCAAACTGACCCGATGGTGCAAATTCCAGTTGTTGTGCCCAAGACCACATTCGATGTTGTCACTCAGTCTGGTACAATATTCTGTGCACAAGCTGTTCAGACTGTTCCTGAGGAACGACCTATATTACGCACTGCGGATGTTAATGTGATTCATGGTGAGATGTCACCGTCACTAGTAAGCAAGAAACTGCAAGCAACCATGCGTCAATCACTTGAGAACTCTAGCACGCAAACTGACCCGATGGTGCAAATTCCAGTTGTTGTGCCCAAGACCACATTCGATGTTGTCACTCAGTCTGGTACAATATTCTGTGCACAAGCTGTTCAGACTGTTCCTGAGGAACCGCGAGTATCCCATTCTATAAATAGGAAGGTTCAATGTTCACCTAATTCGAAAGACAGTTCAGTGCAAGTAGAGGCTTTCGATGATAAGGTAGTATCTAGCAGTACATCTATTGCGCACAGCATTCAAGTCATACCCCAGCTGACACAAACTACTCCTTCTACTACTTTTGATGTCCAAATCCAGTCCGGAGTAATATTTTCGTCTGATGCAACACAGACCATTGATTTCAGTCCGGCGACTGAAATGAAAGAAACCAGTGTCACACATGAGAAGGAACCTGCAGTCTTGAAGGGGAAGAAGCTTCAGGTTCGCTGTGATTTGGCTGATCTGGCAGTGCAGACCGACCAAATTATGCCCGCTGTTCAACCAACCATTTCATCAACGATGCATACTGTGCCAAGCACATCGCAATCAATACAAACTATCCCATGTACCACATATGATGTTCAAATCCAGTCCGGAGTAATATTTTCGTCTGATGCAACACAGACCATTGATTTCAGTCCGGCGACTGAAATGAAAGAAACCAGTGTCACACATGAGAAGGAACCTGCAGTCTTGAAGGGGAAGAAGCTTCAGGTTCGCTGTGATTTGGCTGATCTGGCAGTGCAGACCGACCAAATTATGCCCGCTGTTCAACCAACCATTTCATCAACGATGCATACTGTGCCAAGCACATCGCAATCAATACAAACTATCCCATGTACCACATATGATGTTCAAATCCAGTCCGGAGTAATATTTTCGTCTGATGCAACACAGACCATTGATTTCAGTCCGGCGACTGAAATGAAAGAAACCAGTGTCACACATGAGAAGGAACCTGCAGTCTTGAAGGGGAAGAAGCTTCAGGTTCGCTGTGATTTGGCTGATCTGGCAGTGCAGACCGACCAAATTATGCCCGCTGTTCAACCAACCATTTCATCAACGATGCATACTGTGCCAAGTACATCACAATCAACACAAACCAGTACCACAACACTAGCTGATGCATTCTGTCAAGCAAAGTTACCATCTACCACATACGATGTCCAAATCCAGTCCGGAGTAGTATATTCGTCTGATGGAACACAGACCATTGATTTCAGTCCGGCGACTGAAATGAAAGAAACCAGTGTCACACATGAGAAGGAACCTGCAGTCTTGAAGGGGAAGAAGCTTCAGGTTCGCTGTGATTTGGCTGATCTGGCAGTGCAGACCGACCAAATTATGCCCGCTGTTCAACCAACCATTTCATCAACGATGCATACTGTGCCAAGCACATCGCAATCAATACAAACTATCCCATGTACCACATATGATGTTCAAATCCAGTCCGGAGTAATATTTTCGTCTGATGCAACACAGACCATTGATTTCAGTCCGGCGACTGAAATGAAAGAAACCAGTGTCACACATGAGAAGGAACCTGCAGTCTTGAAGGGGAAGAAGCTTCAGGTTCGCTGTGATTTGGCTGATCTGGCAGTGCAGACCGATCAAATTATGCCCGCTGTTCAACCAACCATTTCATCAACGATGCATACTGTACCAAGCACATCGCAATCAATACAAACTATCCCATGCACCACATATGATGTTCAAATCCAGTCCGGAGTAATATTTTCGTCTGATGCAACACAGACCATTGATTTCAGTCCGGCGACTGAAATGAAAGAAACCAGTGTCACACATGAGAAGGAACCTGCAGTCTTGAAGGGGAAGAAGCTTCAGGTTCGCTGTGATTTGGCTGATCTGGCAGTGCAGACCGATCAGATTAAACCTACTGTTAACTTGAACAGTAAATTTATTCAAACCACTTTTATTCCACATACGGATGTATCATGTCAGTATAGTGAGCTCGTGAAGCCTTCATCGGTTAGTCATGCAACAACCTCCACAGCTGTTAGTGTTCAAACAGACATGCCTTATTCAGCACATCTACGTGTGGATCAACGAAACAAGAAATTCCAAGTAAATCTAATATCTCCTTCATCTCCAAAGACTCCTCCAAATGTAACCTCTTCAGGAACGCAAACTTCAGATTATGGATATCAGAATGTTAGTATTAAACAGGTTGATAAAACAACAGTTTCATCAGTGGATGCATATATGATACATGATTCAGTGTCTAACGTGGAAAGCTCTTCACAAGAAATACCAAAGGTAAAAATAGATCAAGAATGCCAAGTAAAAATAACTCCTCAACAATCTCAAAAGAAACTTCAATTTGGCTCCTCATTTTCCATGCTGAAAAATATATCTTCTCAAACTGTACAGGATGGTAGTCTACATGACTATCACAGAGATTCTATGCCGTTAAGTATTGGAGTTCAGGTGAGTAATGTACGACAAGTAGTTACAGTAGATACAGGGACTCAAGAAACAAGATCAGATGAGACTTCACTATTACCTTCACAAGTTAAAAACAAAAAACTACAAGTCTATCCATCTAAACTTGGTGAACAAGTAGAAGAAGAATTTATACATTCTCAAGGGATCTCGACTTCATTGACTGAGTTAACACAGACAGATGAGAGTCTATTAAAAAATATTAAATGTTTCAAGTGTATGTCACGGGGAAACGATAAGAAAATACAAAGTGAATATACAACAGTTGATAAAGATGTACAATCGCAAGAAACATCAGTAAAAACAAAACAAACAGCATCAGCTACAGTGAAATCAAATTACTTTACACGTATTCTTCAAATGGAAACTATTCCTGTTAAACTGAAAGCAGAAGATGAATTAGATATGTCAAAACAATATATAGAGTTTAGTCATAGAGCTAGGAATGAATCAAGAAGTGTTCAAACTGATACATTTTTATTGAACACTATTCAATTGCCTGAAGGAAGGATGGAAGTTGATAGTGTTGGGAAAATTTCGAAAAAGACTACAATTGTTCAATTGGAAAAGTTAACTACAGATAAGTGTGTAGATACTATACCGTTTAAAAAAGAACTTGTGGAATCTCAAACATCCTATTATGATATTCTGAGATTTGATAGAAGAAATGTTAAATTGCAAAAAGGAAAACCATGGTCAGAAGCACAAATGCCAGATATTCAGTTTGAGACAAAACATTCTTTAATAATAGATTCAAGTGGAAGTTATTCACCTCAACAAAATTCGGTGGCAGTTAGTGCACGACCAACAACTACTAGTATACTTCCTCATGTAGCATCAACAAGTAGAAACGGGAATGGGAAGAGTAGAACGTTGTATCAACATTCGAAACCAGATGTTATAAGTTGGGGAGTACAGTTTGCACCGGTAACGCTTACTGGGGTAACACAAACCACTGAATCTTTGAAACATAAGTTAACTATCGATTCATCAGTAAACGTGGGTGTACAAACTGATGACATTGAAGATGACTATTATATAAAAAGAGTTGTAACGACAATAGCTAGAAAAGGTCTGTCATCTTATTGTCGTCGAGGTCCAGTAGCCAGGAAAATTGTCGAACATACAGATCTACTGACATCAAGTTTACCTAGTAACCTCGATGAAGAGTTTGATGAAGAAATAACGGTTGGACCGAAAACAACAAAGGTAACAACTATGCAAAAACGTGGAGATCGTCGAGTAGTGCATGAAGAACTACTTACAGAAGACTATAGAGAAAGAGGAAGTTCACTTGACTCCCATGTAGCCCACATACGTTCTCCAAGAGAAACACACCTACGGGATATCGATCTGCATGAAATGCATGAACATGAGACAGATATATATAGTGATGCTGAAATTTGTTTGCAGAACTTACTGAGAGTATGGGGAGAGCAATATTTGCTTTCTAGACTACGAACGATCAGCAGATCATCAGAACTATCAGTTAGTCTTGGTCAAAGCATACAAACGGCAGGAAAATCACGGCTAGTAGAAGCAAAGACACAGTTTACATCAACAGGTAATTTGGTGAGTCACATCAGAAATCTTGAGAATATAGGAACACAGACTAGTGATATTCTCCTTACTACCCGCCCTTCGCACAAAAATAAACGGATACAGCGTGGTCATAGCTTCATCTCTGGAGGTGCAAATCAGCCACCACAAACACGTAGTGCGTCGGCATTAAGTCCAATGTCACCGACAACAGAAGAACTGACAAGTCACCATCGTCAACATGGGATAACAAGCATGCAGACACACACTTCTCATCCACTGAATTTGGCAACTACCACATTTACAGAGACTACACAAGAGCAATCAACGTTCAGTATAGAACACACAGTTCAAACTTATGTTTGTCCAACATGCGGAAGTCAAGCTAACATTCCAGTGACTGTTCATTCACAAATACAACCGCAGGCACTTCCAATAACGCAATTAAAAGATGCTCAATCACAAACTCGATTTATAGGGCAAACAACAACTGATAATAACTATACATATCTACCAACTTACCTAAGTGATGACGAAGTAATTCGCATAAATCAAAGTCAGAGAATTGAGGACAAAGAATTTTCGATGGTGACATGGCATCCAGCAGAAACAAGAGATACAGAACGCCGTAGAGACAGCGATAGAAGTAAGCAAATACGAGATGAAGTATGGGTTGATAGTCCTGGGAAATTGTTAGAACTCAAAATAACTGGAGTAGTAGTACCTGGAACAAATAAAATTGTTAGTGCAAGTGAAGCATTTTATCGTGGCCTATTAAGAGTAGTATATTGGGATTATGAAAAACTTGGACCAAGACAATCATCAATAGATTATTCAACAGTCTCTATACCACTTACAGATGCAGTGATTTCCAAATCAGTTCGATTAGCTAATGATAGAACATCCACAGAAACACAACCATCTTTGGATGCTAAAATAGTTTGGAGAACACCAGAAATACAACGAAGTAGATATTTAGTACATTCAATTAGACCTGATGCAGGTCAAAATAAACATGATCCAATTAATTTGGATATTGCATCAGCAATACGTGCTGGTCTAATTGACAAAGAAACCGGTCGAATGTTGTTTACACATTCTATTTGTGAATCATCATTAAGTACTGATTCACCGATAAGTAAAAAAGGTGATAGTAGTTCTGATCAAACGGAACAATTATTATCTATTAGAGAAGCAATTGTTCGAGGATTTTTAGTTGCTGAATTAATAGAACCTGAATCATCATCATCATATATAACTAAACAAAGTATACCACCATTTATTGTTCCAAGTACTAGTTATTCACATTCACCAACTGATGTTGACATTTGACCTGTTGCTTAATAATAATAACAATAATAATTATTATTATTATTACTATTTTATTATTAAAAAAAAATAGGAAATCAACAAACATACTACACAAAAGTTGTTTAGATACATAGAAAAATTTTATTCTTTATCTGTGTATAAGCATAAGAACAATCATAATGACGAAAAGAAAACCCAACACCGCCCCGCCCCGCCCCGCATTATTATTTAATCAACATCATATTGTGTATGTGTGTTTGCGTGTGCGTGTGTAGCCAATTATTTGAAGCATCTTTAATTTAATTTAATCTGTTTTTTTTCCTATTGTTTCTTCTTTTAGTTAATTTTTTTTTAAATATTCTTTTTTTCTTTTCTAAACCATAAAACAAGACATAAACCATCATTATTTATCTAACTAACACAACGAACTAACTAACTCTATTCAATATTCAATATATAAAATAATTTTTTTGTTTTTATTCTTTTTTTCTTTGTTTAAATATTATCAATAATAATAATTAATAATAATAATAAAATCAGTTTATAGAAAGTTTATAATATTTCAATTTTGAAATTATTTTATATCAGCAGCCTATTCAAACAAAGATTAAAGATCAATCATTGTTACTAGACCACCACCATTAGAAACCTGGAAGCAGCACTGGAGGACGGTCGTTTCGTCCTGGTATTGGACTAACTCATCAGTGGCAGTGCACATCCACGACTCCTGCTTCTGGCAGGATTCGAACACAGCGGGACCTTCGGTATTGTAGGCGAATGCCTTACCATCGTGGACTACTGCACTGGGTCGGCATCCAATGGTGTTAATGTTTAACAATGATTGATTGATGATTTCAAATGTGTAAAAAAAAAGCAAACCTCCACCAAAACTCTGCGCCAAAAGATTTTATATGAACTTCAAAACATCACACATAAGCCATTATATATATATATAGTTTATGTTTACAAATTGACTGTTGGCTAGATAACTTTAGAAAAAACCAAGAAGCAGTGGATAGTAAGGTACTTCTCAGAAGAGTGTATCTACAATCTTATTAAAGAATGAACACATGAACAATCATCCATGCGGTTGAGATCAACTGGCAATTGTTTCTTAGTGTAGGTAGGATATGTGAGTTTTGATTTTGATAGCTGGTGATGTTGTTGGCAAGTACTGTTGATGAGTCTCAAGCTAGGATTGAAAAGTCACGATTTACTTCTTAGTTTGCAACAGCTTCATTTTTAGCCCATGATGTAAAAGATAGAATAGAACTGACTATCAGTGAGATATGCAATTTAAGATACAACTAGTTGAAATTATCAAAAAAAAGCGAAAAACTCATATTTAGTCATTTTTGAAAACTACTAAGATTATTAGTTTGGATAGTAAGCATACCAGTATGATAATAGAAGTGGATAATCCCTAAAAAGCAATGAAAGATATAATTAACTCATTTGAATATTAATCAGAAATCTAAACTACTGAATTATATATATATATCTGTCTACTGCATTAGGATGCATTCTTAATATTTATCAGACAGCAGATTCGACCTAATTAACCATGTTTCAAAGTTAACACATGCTGCAACATGTTCAGTTATTTAAGTAAATTGATTAAGGCTACAAATGAATCTATAACACGGGGATTAGTCAGTCAGTTACAACACAGAACTTCGTACGTACCTACATCAGTTCAGGTTGCCATACCACATAAGCATGAAGAGGCAACTGTCAGTACAAATCCAATAGTGGTAGCAATAGTAGAGATATTAGCAGTAATGGAAAAGACTGGGGTTCGAAGACATGATTCGAGAAGTATAATTCAGTGAGATAAACTTAGAAAGAGAAAGACAAAGATGATGAGGAATTCAGGATAGAATTCGAGAGAACACAAACAATGGGTGCACCTGCACCATTGCAAACGGTTTAGTGATGCAGGTTGACAAAAGCCGATCAGGTCTTCTGTATCCGTGATGAGATTTCGTCACATACCAGGTCATCGGCACTGATGTGACTCTCAAGATAAGTGAGGCGGTCAACACGTTCGACCACTTCACTCCCTATCACTAGTTCAGGTGCCGATGCAACCCAATCTTGGAGCAACATATTACATTTCGAGGGGGGAAAACCGCATCCCGAACATGCTTGCATTGTTGCTTAGGGTAGTCAGGAGACACTGCATTTTGTCAGTGTCTTCACCAAATAGAACTATATCATCAGCATATTCGAAGTCAGCAAGAGTGTCTCCTGGTATTAGTCAGTGTAAATAGTTATTACAATAAATTAAACAAGTATAACTCAAAGTTTAGTGGTGTAACAAACTTATGTATTTCTTGAAATAAATTATGAATCAAACTTATTTTTATCAGAGGATTAGCATTAAAACTAATTTGATTTCCAAAACTGTGTACAGTATAAATGAAATTAAACAATGATGAAAAGAAAAAAGCCTATAAAATACCAACAGCTTGAATGTAGGCTGTGTACTGTTTTATGGATAAGTTTGTCTAGAGAATTTTGATAACAAACAGTTCATGAACAAGGTATACGAAAATTCGGATCAGAAAGATTTAATTACTGAACGTGTCGACCGCTTCACTTATCTTGGGAGTCTCATCGGTGCTGATGGCCTGGTGACTGACTAAATCTCAGCTCGGAAACAAAAGGCTCGATTGGCTTTTGCCAACTTGCGTCACTTATGGCGCAGGCGAAATATCCGGATGCGAGACTTGGCCGTTAAGAGTAGAGGACTTTCGAAGGTTACTAGTCTTCGATCATAGATGTCTCCGAAGCATTGCTCGTGTATCACGGGACAACCGTATAAGCAATGTTGTCGTTAGGACATGCGTTGGGACATGTCTTGCGTATGCCTAACCACCGACTGCCTCGACGAGCTATGTTTTGTGGTGTAGGAGTAGGTTGGAAGAAAGCTAGGGGCGGCCAGACCAAAACATGGCACAAATCCATGAAGTCACTGACAAGTGGACTGAGTCATGTTGGTAGATGTAGGCTACCTGGTTGGGTTCCGTGAGACGAAAGTCACCGATGGTTAGAGACCTTGAACGACATGGCTCAAAATCGTTCTCAATGGCGCAGGTGCATCCGCTCTTTGTGTTCTCTCAAATTCTAATCTTCTGGATTCGTCAACACCTCTACCTTTGTCCATCTAAACTTATCTCAGTGAATTATACTTCTTCAATAATATCTTGGAGTCCTAATCTTCTCTATTACCTGTAGTACTCCTACTACCTCTACTACTATGGAATTTGAATTGACAATCGCGTCTCTGTGCTAATGTGGTATGGCAACCTGAACTGATGTACTTACGTACAAAATTCTACGCTGCAACTGACTGACTGGTTTGTGCAATGAATAACGAGCGATTTAAAAAGTTTACATAAGTTTTAGGATATTACTGAGTGGAAAAACACTACTTTTAAGTGCATGAAATAACAAAAAACCAAGTGAGGACTGCATTAAAAAAAGAATACAAACCATACTATCAAACCTAATTAACCTAAAGATGGTTCTCTTCTACTTGCCACTAAATTTGCATAAAAATCATATTTCCCACAAGAACCAGAATTTTGACTAATTTTTGTTAACTGTTAGTATATTCAGTTATTGATAAGTAAAATCGAAAATTTACTGAGACAGAAGCAAAAAATTAATTATCGCTAGAGCAATAAACTTACCTTGATTAAAATGAATCCAAGTCCGCCATCAAATTATATAAAGTAATAGAATATGATAACCGCTTACCAACCAGTATATTACTTGTGTAATATACTGGTATACGGTTTTATTCATGATTTTTTGTATGGTAAGAACTGTCAACCAACAATGAAACCATGAGTGACATGGCTTAAAACCGTTTGCAATGGCGTGGATGCCTACATTCTTTGGCTTCTCGCAAATCTCAATCCTCTGGAATCTTTATCACCTTCATCTTTCTGTTTATTTCACAAAATTCTACTTCTTGAATAATATCTTCGAACCCCAATCTCTCCGATTATTGTTAATACTTCAACTACTATGGGATTTGAATTGACAATTGTGTCACTATGCTAATGTGGTATGGCAACCTCCACTGATGTACCTACGTATAAAGTTCTACGTTGTAGTTAACTGACACAAGTATAACTTTAGTCAAGTACCAGTGCACACAATAAACTCCTAACACTGGAAAATGTATGAATGCTTAGGATATTATTCGGTTTCCACAATAAAAGTAGGTGAAGATTTAAAAGCACAATCCATAATTTTGGAGTTGAATGACCAAGTCATTGATTCTTAGTTATCTAACTAACTATGCTACTGATATGACAAAATAGTCCTGTTACTAACAACCGAATGAGATGTCACTAACTTCATTACTTCTGGTTACTTGAATCTAGCCGAATGCAGTTCAGGTGAAATTAAGTTTTTTTTGTAGGGGTTGAGCACCTACATTAAATAAGATGGCTGAGAATAGTTATTCAAGATTGTCCAGCCATTATTTGTAACGCAGCATGCTTGGAAATTCAGGTGTTCGAGCAAAAGTTAGATAAAAATACAAGATGTATGTATGTATAAAGTCACAGACCGTAAGTCTGAGCTGTCAAACAATTCAAACTTCTTAGCTAATATCTCTTTGATAACTGTGATTGACGATATAAATTAAAACCGGTCACAATGGCGCACATGTACCCATTATCTATCTACATTTAAATCATGAATATTTTCGTTGAGGATTTTACTCATTTGTTTCCTAGTTTTAACAATCGTCGTTGTAATCATCCCTATTCTGTTAACTGATTTTTGCAGACATGAGCAAGTAACTTAGGCCCATAAATGTATCCTACAGCCTGTATTTTGTGATGAATTGCATTATTCCAATTATTTATTGGGTCGTTCTGACTCCTTTCTTGTATGCACCTAAAGCTTAGCTATTTATTATATTATTTGGGATCTAAAAAACCCCACCTGAGACCCCTCTGGGGCTACTACCGGTCCCAAGCCCAGATAAACGAGGAGCG